CGCTACAGAAATATTTTTAACAGCGCCATAGGACATTGGATACTTTAAATGCCCTGTTAACCCGGGCTGCTTATCGCCTAATCAAATACATCGTTTTCATTCTTAAAGTTTTGAATGTTATAAAAACTGAATCTTTACATTCTCACAATCGTTAAAGAAAAAATATATATATATATATATATATATATATGTATGTATGTGTGTGTGTGTGTGTGTGTGCGCGCGCGTGTGTGCGTGCGTGCGTGTGCGTGGGTGTGTGCGTGGGTGCGTGCGTGTGTGTGTGTATGTGTAAATACATAAGTACATCAATAAACATAGAAATTGTCTATATGTAAACATGTATATGTAAATGTATTGAGACCAACACCTCCCTCTAAAATAAATCACTGCTAACTAACCAGTCGTGTCCTGCTAGTTAACTCCTAAAGTTAAAGACTACTCAGTCAAAAAAAGGATCCAGCTTACAAACATAACCATTACGTGTCTATTCCGTACATCATTAAACACATCAACACAACACCAACGTTTACATCCGTCTCTTTTTTTGGACACCTGTGGGTAACAATAAAAATAATCATTAAAAAAGTTTTTAAAAACCCACGTTTTCTGATTGAACTAAAAAGTAGAAAATAAACGCTATACATCACAATAATGCAAGCGATCACTCTACTATAAGCGATGAAAAACGTGGGGCGCCGAAGTAAAAGTTATATTACTATTGATTAGATAATACTATTGACTTTTATTAGGGAGCTTGTAGAGAGTCAACAGTATTAGAAACTGTAAGAAAATCACGGCGCCCCACGTTTTTGATCGCTTATAGTAGAGTGATCGCTTGCATTATTGTGATGTATAGCGTTTATTTTCTACTTTTTAGTTCAATCAGAAAACGTGGGTTTTTAAAAACTTTTTTAATGATTATTATTTTTTACTTTTTAGTCTTTGTTTGTTTGCATTAAAATCTTGCTATCGATTTTATCTTTTCACTTTTTTTGGGTAAACGAAGACAACTCGTAAAAAGACAACTCGTAAAAAGACAACTCGTAAAAAACACGTTGTGTTAACACATAGATTTGAACCCGTGTCGAGTGGGATAGCAATCGTGTGCCCAACCACTCGACCATATCGTCTCCCCCAAACTGGCCTACCTCCTGTAAGTTTAAACTCGGTTCAAGCTAAATTCTCTGCCCCTAAGCCTGTGGCGACATGTGATCGTTCGCTTCACTGCGCGCGAGGTACGCGTCGCTGGTTTTTTTTTGTAATGGCTAGCAGAGGAGAATTATATATATAGATTATATAGCGGTCTAAAATGCTCAATAAAATGTTTCCATTGATCAATTTAGTAATAATAACAATTGAATATTCAATGGTCATCCAAAAGAAAGCTTCCCTGAAAATTTCAGCGCGCTAGCTAACTGGGAAGTGCCAGAAATTTCGATCGCAAGATTGGATTGGAAAGACAAACAAATAAATAAATAAATAAACACACAGAGAAAGCAAGTTAAAGAAAACGTGGGAAAATGAGTTCTGACGAAAGACTTAATAAAAATAACTATTGGAGTACCAGAAGATTAAGGGAGGTTACCAATTTTAAATAAACTATCAACAAATAAACTTAATAAACTATCAGCTAAATAAAAAGGGCAGTAATGCAGTAAATAAAACAATACCATACTTATGTACCCTGATGTTGTATTTTGAAGTAGACGAGACCTAGATATTTAAAATAAATTTAAATAAAAAGACAAGAAAAGCTCGTGCACAGGGCCGGTGCTACCTATAAGGCGAACTAGGCGGTCGCCTAGGGCGCCCTCCCTAGGGGGGCGCAAAAAGGTTTAATGCCTTTTATCAAAAAGTACCTAATAATCAATAGCTTTGATTATCGTATATAAACTCTAGATGGTAATATACAAAGGAGTAGCGATCTATTTCGGCGCCGAGGACAAACTATCCATTTTTGCACCCCCACCCCAAAAGTAGGTCTCTATAGGCATATATTTATTCGCGATGGTGAAAATGCAACCCCACCTCCCTAATTTAAAAAGGTTGGCGCGCTTTTTACCAGTCACTTTGCCTTTTTAGTTTCGTGTCACATAATTGATGTACAAAAAGATTAAATAAGTTCGTAATTTAAATTTCGAACATTTCAAACGGTTATCTAATATTAATGTTGATTTAGTGATCGCTCCATAACATGACGGGGGGGGGGGGGGGGGTTCAAAACGCGTGCAATTTTGGTTTTTAATAGGGCTTGTAAGTCTCGTTTTCTCTGACTTTGAATTAGAAATCTGTTCTGGTGTATAGAGTTTTTTAATGACGGGGTGTTCAAAGTATCGTATTTTTTACTTTTCTGTTGTGTAGTTGAAGGTCTAGTGCAATCTGATTGGTAATAGAGAAATGAGAATGTAGGTGATGAAGTATCGTAGTTCAGGAGTTCGGGACTATCGAGTCTTGTGGTATTAAGGAATCGAAGTGTGTTGACTGTTAACGTGTAGTAGTAGGTCCAGTTAAATTGTTATTGATAGGGAGTATCGTTTGTAGAGCTTGATAAAGTTTGGTGAGGTGGTGTCGTAGTTCTGGAGCATCGAGTCTAGTTATATTTAGGTATCGAAGTTTGATATGTGTTGTGAATGTAGTAGAATATATCGAGTATTCGAGTTTATCGTAAATTAGATTATTTCAATTCAGGACGGAGCACACTTCAAAGAAAAGTAGGCATTCTTTAGCTGAAAAATCTTTAGTTTTTTTTAGGAATCAATATTACCACTCTTAAAGTATTAATATATATTAGTGTATAAGCTGGGATTTTTAACTAACGGTAAACTTTGTTATTTCAATATTTTTTTTTTATATTTAATCAATAATTATAGCAATATCTTAAACCAGGGGTCCGCAACCTTTTGAAGCGGAAGAGCCAAAAGTTACAATTTTCAAAATTTCCCTGGTTTTAAAGAGCCACTACATGTTTTTATTTCATATATTTTATTTTTTTATTAAGATTTTTAGTATTTGTTCAAGGAGCTGGAGAGCCGCATCTTGATATCAAAAGAGCCGCATGCGGCTCGCGAGCCGCAGGTTGCCGACCCCTGTCTTAAACAGTTACACGTATTTGATTTTTTTGAAATCCAAAATTTTTTAATCATCTATGCCGTGTCTGGTTATCGCAATTAAATGTTTGGCATCAAGATTGACTAGAAGTATGTTATAATAAAGCTACCATGTTTGACTTTCAAACAAAGCCTACTGTTAAGTAGTCAATTAGTCAAATATATTCTTTTGACAGGTTTACGTAGCTAATACAAAATATTTGTTATAATTATTGCGTAATGAAATTTAAAGCGTTTTATTGTGTTTTTCAAGCATGTCTTAGTTACACTTGGTTAAATTAAGTATTCTTGTGAAAGCTATTTCCCTTGAAAGAAATTTTGGTATTTGGATTTCTAAATGGGAGATAATTTGTTGCATAACTTTTCATTTCAAATTCCTGCATCTTAGGTAGACCGCTTACTTATAAATACAACTTTAAGTTATTATTTGCTATTGTAAAGATTATGTAGAGCAGAAGTTCTAAACAAAGTAGTTTGGTAGGTTTTTTTCAGCATTATCAAGTTGAAAAACACATACATCAGTAGCCGTTGTAGATTGCAATACTTAATGAAAGTTAATCTTAGTAGACATACAGTATGAGATAGTGTAACAAATGCGACTAAAATTGTCTTAGTCGCAAATTAATCACCTAATTAATTGTCTTTTTTCATATTTTTCACCCTTTCCTAAAGGATTCATATATAAAAATTGTAAGCTGGAATCTATAACATTTATAAACTTTTTTTTTTTTTTTTAAATCGCTACATAATCACACAAATTAGACATTTTACAATTCTAACTAAAGACGGTCAAGCTTAAACAGGTAAGTTCCGTTCTGGAACACCTTGGGAGGTCTGCAGAGAGCCAACAGTACAAGAACTGTAGTTTGTTTTTGTTTTTTTCAAATATTTTTCCCAGACTTTTTTTACCTGGAGGGGGGCGGAGTACCTGAATTTTTTTTTGTGGACTTAGCTACAATAGAATGTGATTACGCTTGCAAACTGGAATTGAAGGAATTAGTACAAACTTTTGCGCCCAAGGAGGCAAGTAAAATTTGATTTTGATGTCTACTTTTAACGTGTATGCAATTGATAATAAATTAATATGTCACTTTTAATTAATTGTTTTCTTATACATATGTTTTAGTAATTAATGTGTGTGAAATAGGGCGTTTTAATAAGTTTTGCCTAGGGCGCTAAATAACCTGGCGCCGGCACTGCTAGTGCATAATACTAAAGTCATGCAGCGTTTCTTTCAGCAATTGCATTTTTTTTCCGGGGAGCACTTGAAACTACCCTTCGGGGGGGGGGGGGGGGGGGGGGGACAGATTGTATATAAAATATAAATGTAATATTTTTCTATTTCGTCCCGGTGGGGGGGGGCACTACCCTGTAGAGATGCCTGGAAGAAACAACGTAGTCGTGTGTTACAGAATAGCATTCGTAATCAACGTTGTTCGTATTATGAAATGAGATTTCAGACTTTGATTAGTTGCCGAGACTAAATTATCTGCTGAAAAGAAAATAGTCATACACTCATAAAAATGGTTATAATGGATTTCAAAACCTGTCCCTTAAGAAACACCATATTTTTTTATTTAGTGCACAAAAATACTCATAAGTGATACTGATAATTATTTTGTTTATAAGCATTAGTCAATATTTAGATTTATGCCTAGCCTAGTATTTTGTTTAGGTTTGAAGTTGAAGTAACGACACGCCTAAACAAGTATTTATGTATTTCTAATCAACTGTTACCAGATAAAAGTGTCTTATTAGATCTAGTTATATGGCCTGTGTAAGTTGCGGTCTTCGAATTTGCTTTCTCTTTTTGCAAGAATTAAAATTTAAAATAGTAATTAAATTATTTTAAATAAAAATTCGATACTATTTACAGCATTTCCTGTCTGGAAAACCGAAAGTAGCTAAGCCGAGGTGCCGCCAGAACTTGACTTCGAAATAGTAAAAAATGACTGATTTTATCGTAAAATTTGTTTCCAAGAAAATTAGTAAAATCAGATGGCGGCCTAAAGCAGATGTAAAATCATCTCCATCTACTACATTTACAACTGGGAGTTGGGATGACGAGGTAAAGTTGCTTGTTTTAGTAGTAGTAGTGTAGCCGGCAGAAGTTCGGGTACGTGTAGTAAAGTGGGTAATCTATCGTTTTAGGTACGTAAAATCGCCCGCGACTAGTAATGTGAAAGACAGGTGACTCCTTGAATTTTAATAATTATTTCACATTTTGAGGAGGATTTATGTTTTGAAAAATACAAAAATGATTCCTTGTTTCATTTATGTACCTGTTTTTAAACAACTGAATTAAAACTTTTCAGTAATAAATGTAAATGAAGACTAGCGATGTTTCCAACAGATGCAACCATGCTCATTTACTATAGCAGCCATCTTATTTAAGTTCTGTTTTTCCAAACTTATAGCGGAATATAGCGCGAGATTCAGGGGAAGGCAACTCTATTTTACAAATGGCTGCTGTTTATACAGGAAATCTTGCTCGCAGACACTGCTGTTTAAAGTTAATTTTTGGCCTATATTGATATAATTAGCCATTGATTTAGGTTTATTATTCATTTATCTATAATATTTGACACAAACATATCACAATATACTTCTATTAAAGCCTTGACAGTGAGGTAACTTTTTCGCACATTTCTAGCCGCGGGCGATTTTACTTACCCAAAACGATAGATTACCGTAAAGTGTAGTCAAGTGTAGTGTTATACATTACAAACAATATACTCAGTACTGTACACTACATAGTACATACACCAACACCGGTATCGCCTTTTTTGGCCGTTTACTCAAATTTTACTTTTGTCTTTAGCCCAGTCTTCAGCTGCTCTTGTTGGTTGTGGCTTTCACTTTCAACCTATTCAAGTTTGGGTGTGGGGAAATTGCGAAATGGCGAGGCGGGAAAATGCGAGAAGGGCGCGAAAACTGTCGGTCACGTGACTTTTTGTCTCGCATTTTACCACAACCCGATACTTACGCTGGGTGGTGTTGAAATGCGAAGATTTCTGCGAAAAATTTACCGCACCCGATTTTCAGCTGTATTTGGTCCAGACTTCAAAGACGTTTCGTTTACATTGTTAAAAAGTCTGATTTTTCCGTCGCTATACATACTGATGATTTGTCAACTCCCCCATCTTTTGTGTCGACTTAGAACACCACCTTGTTCGAAACCGACGGAAGTACCGCCGACGATAGATCAACTTCTTTCTTTTGTGTGGAACGCCGAGGCCGCCTGATTTATCGTCTTTGAAGATCACCGTGCCCGAATCCGCTGCCGACGCAAACATATTTTGTATTGTTGCATAGAAATGTGTGATGAGGCGGGGGGGGGGGGGGGGGGGGGTTATATGTTGTGATGTCACACTATAAAAAAGCAATGTTAGAAAAAGAATTTTAGACGTTATTTCGCGTTTTAGAAAACTGTTTTAATAAATTGTAATGGGAATTGATTAAAATACTCTATTTTGACAGAGTTCAGACAAGATTTTGGAAAAATATCGATGTTTTTAAAAAAAAATTCAACTGCAATTTTGAAGGGGGTGGGGTTGTAGGCTGAGGTGTGACGTCATTTTAGTGGGAGGGGTGTCTGGATTTTTGTGAAAATGTGTGACGGAGGGGAGGGGGGGGGGTAAAAATCGTCAAAAAAGCGTGACGTCATTTATGAATGACCCCTTTTAGCTATTAAATGGTAGTTTTGTCGACAGCGGACTTTATTGAGATTATCTACAAACGCACATTTTTTTTTGTCATTCTGTTCATATTCGTGTTCTGTGTTAGCACAGTATAAATGGGAGTCTAATGAACTGGGTTGGATGTACTATGTGTGAAAGATGGTGTAACGAGGTGTGTTTGAGTAATGCTAGGACTGTTTCAAAAGATTTTATTTGTAAATTCTGTTTGTAATTAAAATTACTTAATAAAAAATAAATAACATTTTTTTTAGAATTGTTTATATTTCTACACTTTTTGCAAGTACAACAATCTATGAATACATGTTACAGAATATATCTGTAAAAACATGAGCGGGCTAGATTTTTAAAATTAATGTCGACTGAGACGGGATTTTCCTCTCGCTAACGAGAGCGGGCGATGACAGTAGCACAGCAACGATGTTAGGATTTTTTAATAGATAGATCTAGATATAGATCTATCTATCTTCTTAGTATCTATCTATATATATATATATAATAAAATCTAGATAAAAAATAACAACATACAACACTCATGTTAAAGGGTATGGCTACATGCTTGTTTGTTTTAAAACAACAAAAAAATTAAAATAAATAAAGATGAAAAAAGTATGATAAAAAACTTTTTTTTGCAAAAGGTGTCTCGCTATTTTCCCATTGATTCCGCTGGTATGTCTCGCATTACCTTCTCGCATTTTCCCGCCTCGCCATTTCGCTTTTCGCGTCTCGCAATTTCCCAACACCCTTCAAGTTCCATGGTGGTCAGGCACTGACAATTATGGGGGAATTTTTATACCAGTGTCCGATAACAGAAGGGGTGTGTTAGTTACGTTAGGTTACTGGTTGTAGTGGTAGTTAACTAAAACACACACATTGCTGGCTAATGTCAATGCTAACCCTGTCCCTAACCCCAACCCTAGTCCAATCATACGCCTAACCCTAATTTTAACCATGAAATTCTACAAACAACCCAACACACCTATTTTATGGAAGAGTCTATTATCGGACATCGGTATCTAAAAAAGTAAAATCATCCATCTTTCTTTCAGGCATCTCTTCTTTGGGGAGATGGGGGTGGGAGGGCGCCCCGGGCTAAATTCAAAATAGAAAAGATATCTAGATCTAATTTATAATTTATAGCTACCATAGAAAAATAATATCCCTACTATATAGTACTACATACTTTAAACAGTTCCCCCCACTCTCAGATATTTCAAGTTACTATTAATTAATTGCTTTAAACTGCATAATTAAGCATTTAAGGAGCAGATATGAACATAAACTTAAACTTCTTCTTATTAAAACATAATAATAATAATAAAAAATCATGAAATTTGGGGTGGAATAATTGTGTGCTATTTTTCAGTCACTTCATAAACTATGATAAACTGTTTACTCCGGAGTGCTAAAAGGTTAATTAAATGACTGAAGATATAGTTGTTCGATAACTTACTATTCCAAAAATAGGTTGTTAGTAATATTGTAATCTCGGCTAGTTTTAATAATTAGAAATTAGGGTGAGGCGTATGATAGGACTAGGGTTGGGGTTAGGGTTACAGATAGAGTTAGCATTGACATTTGCAAATCATGGGTGTATTTTAATTAACTATCAGTAACCTAACACCCCTTTTTTAAGAAGATTATAATATCGGACTCTGGTACTGGTATAAGAAATCCCCAGTTAATTTTGTTACATTACAATTTGTAGACATGTAGTACACTACAGCAACTTATTGGTAGTAACTTGTGTGTGTGTGTGAATAATTTATCCTATTCCTTGTTGATTGACTATTTCTAAATAGGCTGCTCTGTTCCACACTTTTATACTTATACACAACCTACACACATAATGATTTGAAAATCACTTTTTTTTTACATTTTTAAAGTTAAGAAATACCCTGGTTGTAAAATAAGTAGGCCTAAACTACATAAATCATAAAATAAAAAGGCCCTATAGGTGCATAGTTTGATAGATCTAAAAGTGTACTTCATGTAATGGCAGCCTTAGTAGTTCTGTGTCAGAGTTATTACTACTGGCTTTGCTACCTCACCCCACTGGTATTCATAAGCTACTGTATTTCCTGCTGAAAAATCAGGAAAATAATCAATCATACAAAAATATGCTGCTTAATGACTAATGAATTATATACTTACTTTAATGAAATTTATATTATTTTAGCAAAATACAGTCTGTGTATGGCAAATACGTGACAAAATAGCATCAGAGGAGATGGAGGAGGACGCCATAGCCTTAGAACATGAGCCTCAGAAAGTCTTTGAGATGGCTCACTCTGGTGATGTGCTAGACTTACAGGTGAGACTTGTACTTATACAAATGTTTAGATAATTTTCTTTTGAGTAACCACACAGACATAGCTAAAAATTCATTTTTATTCTGTTTACATTTTGATTTTATATTTATAAAAGCTGTATGACTAAGCTACTTGTTTTTATTACAGTACGTATCGAGTGATATATTCGCTGTGGCATCATCTTTAGGGAATGTTGCTCTAATGAAACATAGACCTAATTCAGAAGTAAGTATTGATTGTTTATATCACAGTACAGTTATTTAACCCTTTGAGCCCTGGCCTCCCTGGCCTAGTTTCTCCCATTTCCTGAGCTCCCAGGGCCAAACCGATTTTCACTTATCTGCTTCTAACTTTGCCTATAACTTTTGAACCGTTTGAGGTAATCAAGCCAAATTTGGTATCCAGACTCAGGATCAAACCCCAAAGCAGAAAGATTCTGAAATTCTTTATTTGTTTACAATATATGAACAGAACAATGTATATAAATCGAACACATAATTATTGTTTTGATAGAACATAGAAGAAACAAATTTACATTTAGTAATTGTTTTGTTATTATTGATACCTGGCCATACTAGTTCATCGCCAGAAGTCCACTTTTGTGTGATAACTTTCAAAACAGTTATCACTGCCTGACCCGATGCAAAGAAAAACTTCGCATGTTTTGCACCAGTAAACAGTTGTTTTTTTTTTTGTTTCGGCAAGTCTTTGTCCTTGGCACCACGTGCATCATAACGTACTTGAACAGTTTCATTGTCACTGTCAATTTCAATGTCACTGAGTTCAGTCTCAAATTCAACGTCACTATCATAATATAGACCAGGAATATTATCTTCTTCATCAGAATCAATAAGTAGTTGTATTGCCTGAGATGCAGTTATTCTACTTCTTTTGTTGATATTTCGGTCTTTTGCTTCATCTTTTGCACCAACTTTATGTGCTGAAGTCGATAGCCGTGGCTCAACTTTTCGTTTCGGCGGCATTGCTACGAAATGTAAACACTTTCACTTTTCCTAAAACCTATTTTTAGAATCATAATCACGCACTAAAAAGACATTTGTGCAGTTTTAGTCAGTCTTCCGCTAATTATATTTAATTAGACGGTATATCAGCCGCTAGGAATATGACGCTAGATCATCGGGCCGGAAAACCGGCTTTTCGGACATATATGCCTAATGTTGAAGCCGGTTTACCGGCCTGGCGGGCTCAAAGGGTTAAAGAGTAATATTTTTTTCTAAATATTATCATTTAGTTATTACACAAGCACATGTAGATTGTGGTTTGTGATATTTTCTTGAAACCTTGAGAGTAGGAATTGGGCTTGTTTTGTTTAAACTTAGTACTTTCCTAGTTGCCATCATTTACTTCATATTTATTGCTGAGTGATGGAGTAAAATAAATAATTCTAGGTGGCCTAAATTTTTGTATGACAGCTGTCAAATGCAATTTATTTATACACAACTAATATTACATTTCTTCTTTGTTTTTTATTGTAATGTTGGTCGAGATTTCCTTCAACACAATTAAGTATGATAGCCATATAGGCAGTTGACTCTGATTCCTGCTTGCTTTTCTGTGCGTCCAAGAGCAAACTTCTAGGCAGCAGTTGTTTGATTTTGGAGCTTTCTCTCCTAGATGGGTTGCTGTACCCAGCTATCAAGCCACATCTGCCAGTGTGTTATAACTCAGGACTTTTCTGTTTAGCATTTCTGACCCGGGCCTTGCTGACTTCATTATCACACTTAAACACTTGATGGCGACTTAGTAGGAAAATAACTTCAAGTTTTTTCAATTTTTTCCATTACTCAAGGACTCTTGTAACAATAAATTTTACCCTGACCAAAATTTTTGTTTTCCTGTTTCACAGACACTGACCAACGTTTACTCCTGGGACAAACAGCACCACTTTAGAACCAGTGACAACTGTCCGTGTACGTGTCTGGCTACCAGAGGGGACGACTGGATCGCCAGTGGGGGAGAAGACGGGCGTGTTGTTATTTCAGCCGTTGGTCAGCGCCAGCCAATTCAGACCATAGGTAATTATTTGCTATGTGAATCTTGGGCATCACTAAGTCCAACAAGCTCTATTGAGGTACCCTGATAGGAATCTCAGAAAATGGAAGGCTGGTCAGAATATTAACCACACATTTTTAATAATTGAAGTGGTCAGAGAAACAAATGATCACTTTTAAATTTGTCTTACTGACAGGCATCTCTTTTAGGTAGAAATCGAGTACAAGTTGTTTATTTAACTTAAATAGAATTCTTATTAACAATTGAGGTGTATTCACTTACTAAAGCATGATCATTTTAATCCAGAAAAGGCAGATAGTTGTACAATAAATGCCCTGACATTCCTGAAACAAACTGAAATACTTACTGTCAATTCCTTCGGACAACTGAAAACCTTTGATCTCAGGCAGGATTTAGACAAACAGTCGCAAATATTCTCTGTGTAAGTTTTTAACTTGTTTCTAGATCCTTTTTTAGTTTTAAATTTTAAGTAAACTTTAGAAAAGGCTTATAAATACCATTAATTTTATTATGTGATTTCCACACAGTTGTCTACAATTAAACATTGATTTAGTAAAAAAATATTTCCCAATTAATTTATCCTCTGGCATCGGTTTCTCCTAGCACTGAGAACCACACCCCCCTCCTGTGTTTGGACAAACACCCTGGTCAGGCTCACATTGTGGCCACTGGTGGGGAGGATGGGATGTTGACCATCTGGGACCTGCGGCAAGAAAAGTTTCCCATGACATTACTAGAGGCTCACACTGGGGCTAGTAAGTTCGTTTTTTAAAACTTTATGAAACATATTCAAGACATTCATATGCTTCATTAGTGTAATTTGAATGTCTGTTAAGACATGTTTTTATGAAGATCAAGATCTTTCTGGCAAACCTTCAGAAAAGTATGTACGTTACACATCATGTATGGAAGACCCTTTACTTTAATGCTTCTATCTGTTTTCAGTGTGGGAGGTCAAGTTCCACCCAAACAACCCCAACCACCTTTTCACCTGTTCAAATGACGGCTCACTGTGGCACTGGGATGGCTCATCTTTCTCAGCTGATTCAATTCCCAGCTACTTACCTGGCAAAGGTAAGGCTCTATTATCATGTCCCTGACAGACTTAATCTGAGAGTAGTTTTATTATTTAAATATACATGCAACAGTGGAATATATGATGAATGGGATGTTGTGTACTAATACTACAAGCTATAGTCAATACTAACCCAAGAATCTTTTACGTTTATCAATTATACAATTTAGTCAGAGAGAATTTATAGTTGGGTGACAAAGTATTTTTTATCACAAATGGTTTATTTTTCTGACATTTAGTTTTTTTAATTTCTGTGATTTATTGATATATTTTTTTTACTGCAACAGGTAAAGACATATCCAAAATGGCCGGAGTTATCAGCCCTTGGCTAAGTCTTGAAACCTCTAGACACAAGCTGGACATTGCATCTCTGCTGCCTAACAAATCTTTACCTGTGAATTCAATGGACATTGAGTCTAGCACACTGCTGTGTGGTACAGACAGTGAGACAGTTTACTCTATCAACCTGCCCATGTTGATGTAGTCTACACACTGGTTTATCCTGGTTCTCATTTTTTTTAAAGTCTTGTACAAAATGTTCATGTCTTTGTTGTTGTCAAATGCTGCTAATAAATGTCAATTTTTAAAAATGTTTCTTTATTTAATTTTTTGCTGTCTGAAACTATTAAACTGTATCAGATTTTCACCTGATTGGTGTGTGACCTAGATGTTTTGACTTGTAGAAAACACTATAGTAGAAACACTAGCCTAGAAAAAAAAAAGATAATTTTCTAAACTGGCTATTGCTCAACCTGTTCCCTTGTAATGCTATGCTCACTTTTTATCTTTGTTGACATGAGCTGAGCTCACAGTTTTAATCTAATAGTATCATCGCAGAATTTGCCAAATAAAACTAACGAGCCGGCCCGCGGCATAACATACGCCGCTATTTAGTTGTTTCTAATTTTCAATAATTCATAATTTGTGAATTTGACAGTACCAACGCTGACACTGAAAATATTTCTCTAAAACACTATAAGTAGCTCGTTAAGGACCATAACCCCCCCCTTTCCTTCCCCCTCCCCTTCCTCCCCCCCCCCCCCCCCCTACGTTTAAAATCGTTGGCTCTGCTTGTAAACATTTAGAGTGAACACAGCTCACTAAAACCATGTAGGGGTGGGGAGGTAGGGAGAGCGTTTGCAGCTTGTTTTCTAACGGCTCGAAGAGGAGAATTATATATATAGATTACAGTATTTATTGTTAAAACAACCTCAAAACTTACTAACAAAAAATTTTTTTTAAATCTTTGCCTTTTTCTGCTGAGACCTTAGGAAACAGTTTGCAAATCACACCTAAATATTGTCTAGAAAAATTATTCAGATCCCTAACAAAGAACCACAATGTATATAACAGGCCCACTTTAAGGATAAAGTAGTTTTGGAAAAATACGAGGGTTTAAACATTTTTGACATCAATTTATTTCCAGACTAGTAATTCATTAATCTTTAAAACAAGTTAATGATACATAGCAAATATAAATTAAAACAATCAAGGCAGTACTCACAAATACACCTGTATCATTTAGAGATTCATATTCAAGCTGAAATTGCTAACCATGAAAAGCAATAAAAAGTACAAGCAATAAATAACACGCATTCACAACTGGTGTTGGTTGTTGACTAGCACTTACCAGTTACATAACAGGCGCCATTTTTTTTTATCTAAGGGATCGCAAGAAAAACAAAAAGGAAATGTAAATTCTTTTTATCACAAATAAAATATCTTTTTTTTTCACCAAACCAACGGGAGTTATTGCAAATAAATGAAACAAATTATTCCTGCTCCTAAAACAAAACGGTAGGCACACACTAAATAAGGCTTATTGAATGTTTAGACAATGAATGAGTTTCCAGTATTTTTGTGCTAGTTAAAGAAGTTTCCTGACACATACATTGTATTTGTACAAAGCTCTTCCAGATTAATACAAGACAATGACAAGCAAAAGGTTGTTTTTTACACTTATAAGAAGGTCTGAATAGATCCTTTTGTGCTTTAAAATCTCATGCAGTTTTCAAGTTTTAAAAATTAACATTAATCTTTTTTCCTGTTCTGATGAAGAAAAACTATTTAAAATCTCATAATGAAATTTTAATAAAAATACCTTTTTATAAAAAAAATTAAGGTTTCCAAATAAACTTATTTTTAGATAGAATAATACAAAATGTTAAAAAAAGAAAACACTTCTTTTTTTTTCAATAGTCTTTGTTTAAATAAAAAAGTTAACCCAATTAGGTTTGAGTTTATGTGACATAATCCAACCAAGGATTATCTGTCAACTCCACAGGATCACTAAAAAAGTATAACAATGACAAGAAAAATTGACAATCTACAAAAAATGCATTTTGTATCACAAAAATTCTGTGAAATTTTAAAAAGAATATGTACACCATTTAAAAAAAAAACTTTTTTTAAAAATGTTGACTCAAAAAGTTTATGACAGTATGTTAAAATATCAAGTGCTTGGAAATTCCTCATAAAAACAGTAAACAAACATTTCCAAGGGAATGGTATTAGGCAGTTTACAATAAAAAATACTTTTCCACAATGAAAACATTGAAAATGTCACAGGATCAGAAGTTACAAAAAAACAGCATACAGCTAATATTTATAATCATGAACCATTTTATCTTATAAAAAATGTATACTTCCATTTAAACTTGTGTTAAGCCTTCATCTTCATTTGACGTATCCATTGTTATTCTTGTTTCTTTACTACCGGCATCAATTTGTAATCATATCCTGTCCTGTAGCCCTGTATATCAAACCAACTTTGTTAATACTTTGTTGTCATATAACAGGTAGTGTTAGTATCTGTTACTTAAATAGCCACAAGACATAATGTAACAGTATCATCACAAATTCAAGGCAATGATACAATGGTACAGTGTGGTAAAAGACTAGACAAAAAAAAACAATGACAAAAATTTCGACATAGCTCACAAGTGGAAACACATTTTGTCTAAATGCCACGAAATCCAAATGAAAAGACACATTTGACAGCGACCATTTTTATTAATAATTTGTTACATTAATCTTCACATAATATAACCAGTGCAAAATGTATATCCCCTATATTAAAAATGTTGTTCATAGACATCCTGCCCCTTTATCCTACACAGGGGGTCGGCGTGGTCGAGTTGGTAAAGTTCATGGTTGCTAAACCGAAAAGTCTCGAGTTCGAACCCTCGGGCAGATGAGGCTCGTTAGCTGGGGACAGCCACTCTTCTAGGAGAGACAACTCTAAAATCAAACAACTGCTGCCTTGTAGTTTGTTCTTGGTTGGACAAAGGCTATGGAAGCAAATCCAAAAAGAAAGCAGGCTGAAATCGGAGTCAATGGCCTCAATGGCGCATAACCAGTTGACACGTAACGCTTAATGGTGTTGGAGGCGTGGTCGAGTCGGCAAAAAGCTCATGGTTGATAAATTCGAACAAAGTCTCGAGTTCAAACCCACTGGCAGATAAATCTCGATTCCCTTCAACACTAATAATTAAGAACGAAGAAGAAGAAGAAGATCCTACACATAGCTACATGATTTTTGTTAGCATAAGCTAATTGAGTATCCTGTTTACTATATTATAATAATATTATACTAAACAGAATTTTTACTCTTCCTTCTTAAATAATAACTTTTAATGACAATTTTTAATACTGTCTTAAATTATGTTGTTCACATATTTAATAACTATCCCTTAATTAATTGAGGAACTATCTAGGTTTTCTAAATCAATCCATTTTATATTTGGTCTTTGAGACATTATATTAGTTTACTTATTGTTTTGAGGATTAAATGTCCTACTTTTCTAGAGTTTTAAATGTTTCCTTATATCCCAAGGGGTAGTAATAAGATAAAGTGAGAAAGGAAGATCAGATAAAACAGATAATTGATAAGCTCCTGTTTATTTCATTGTAAAGGTAATAGCTAGTTTAGAGCTCTCTTTTCACTAATAAACTGCAATGTAATCAACCACATGAAATAAAATAGGAAATTTCTCCTGGTTTTACAAGGTGGATATTGGACATTTTAAAGAAATTTCACTGTCAAAGTGGAAAATATAAGCTTCAAGTGTAAAATTTGTAGCGTTCTTGCAAGGCTTTGCTGAATCAAATGCTTAAAATGAATATTTACCAGCCTGTCCATTGTTCTCATTAAGGCTTCAAACTCAATCTCTCCTTTTTTCCACACGACGCCAGACCTGTCTGCACCGGTTTTCTCTTTGTTGCCAGAGGACTGTGCTTTAACTTGTGCCTCGTCAGAGGGGAGGACAATATTCTTCAGACCTACAGATATTGCTCTCACCTGCAGAAAACAAATATATTGTGTTTAATACATTCAGGGAAGTGTTTTGTTGGATGGACATGATAGGTAATTGGACAGATGAGTTCGTCTGTAACATTTCAGTTACTTAAGACAAGGGGACGGAGTGGTCTAGCGGTAGAGAGCTGGACTGCTAACCCGTAAGTCTCGAGTTCAAATCCGGGTTCAAGTCAGTAGACCGTCCCTGAGTCCACCCAACTCTGATGGGTACCTAACTCATGTTAGGGAAAGTAAAGGCGGCTGGGCATAGTGCTGACCATACTATCTCTTCATATGTCGAGGTCACAGATCGTCAAGTTTGAAAATGGAACTTTACTTTTTTTTTACTTAAGACAGTTACTCTATCCAGCTGAGTGATTTCATGAGCATCGGTTAGACGAGGTTGAAATCAAACTTTTAACTTGACCACACATCCCCTTGTTTGAATTGATAAATGAGGGGCTTTTTTTTTAATTGTGTTAAAATTCAGTTCTCTTTCATACTAGATCTAAGAATGTTGAAACAATCAAGCTAAAAAGAGAAAAATATACCGCTATGAAAATAATAATCTCTAAATTTAAACCTAATGACAGATTTTATAGTGTAAGAAACTGCAGATTTTGCAGGAAAGAATTTTATAAAAATCTCCAAGAACAATCTTCACTTTACAGCTATATTATAAACAAAAAGAGCATCACATATACAAACTCAGTCCCTGCATACAAGTGTATTATATTAAAACATGAAACTCACAATCGAATATACATGAAACAAAAAATGACTTGCAATTACCTGGGCTTCACATGCTGCCATGAAGTTGAATGTTAAATAAAAAGCCTCCTCTATAGTCTCCCCACACACAGCAATGCCATGATTGTGTAGAACCATAATCTAGAACAGATGGAAACACGATTTTAGTCATTCGTCTACTTTATCTGCATCCAAATATTAATGTTTTAAATATATTTCTATTAAATATAAAATAGATTACTGAAATAAAATGTAAAATAGTTTTTTAAAAATTAATTTCGTTTTTTTTACACTCGTAATTAATTTTATATTTGTTTTTCTCCCCTAATCTTAGATAATTCAAATTTATATGTTGTACATTTATTTTTAAACTAGAATTGATTTTAAAAACAAGTCTTTAGTGGACTTAATTCAGTTATTTTAAAATAAAAAAAAGTTATTAAAAAAATTACAAAAGTAATTATTATAAAACCTATTCAAAACTATAATAATATAAAAAATGGTTACCTTATTTTGAGGACCTAAGTCATTAGCTAAAACTTGTTTCTCATTTTCATCTATAAATATACCCTGGAAATCATGGTAACTGACATTGCCGCAGATCATTGATTCTTCAGACAAGGGAAGGAACCCACATTTCATGGCAGAAACCTGATCAATGTAAGTAATACATGAGTTACGTTTCCTTTGTGGATTTTCATCAAAATAATACACATAAGTGAAAATAAATTTTACTCTACTTAATTATTACAAGTACTATACTAAATGACAAAAAGAATAGGATTGAAGAGTTCTTATAAAAATTTCATTTTAAGGTTAATTTTTTTTGCTATATCACTTTTTTTTCCAGGGGGGGGAGGAGAGAGAAGGTAGATACAGCATAAAGCTTATATTTTTTCTATTTAAATTATATTTTTCTATCTAGTCCAGCAGGTTGCCTCCCAGATGAAATGACTGATAGAAATACTGGATAGGATAGGATTCAGTAATTTAAATATGGTCAGGGTTATGTTAAGAACTTAGGTGGTACATGCAAAGCAATAGCTGATATACATCTTGACCACAAATTATAAAAACTAAAGAGCATCATTCATTATGTAAGTAAAAAAAGGTCAGAATACTCACTGCAGTGGCTGCAGGTGTATGTATGTGGATGACACACTTGATGTCAGCCCTGGCTGCATGGATGGCTGAATGCAAGGTGAACCCCGCCCTGTTGAACCCAAACAGGGTTGACCCCTGGTCAATGACTTCACCTTTCAAGTCAACTTTGATTAGGGACGATGCAGTGACCTCGTGGTACAACATCCCGAATGGGTTTATTAAGAAATGTTCATGCCCACCTCCATCTATCCGTGCCTGGAATATTTTAACACTTAATTAAGTTAACTGTAAGCCTAATTTGTCAAATAAAAAATATCTGGATGTTTAAAATATATAAGTATTTGAACTTTAATACTTATTTTTTAGCATAGTAGTTTAAGTATGACTTTAATATTTATTTTTTAGCTTAGTAGTGTAAGTGTACCATGGCTATTGTTTAAATGTGATTAACGTTTTTTTATCGACCAATTGTTTAAATAAATAAAAATATTACCTATTGTAAGTATTACAAATTTAATTTTTTAATCTGTCTTAATTTTCATAAACATTTATGGTAAAGTATTCATTATCAGAATCATAATGAATGTAATCAACAATCAGTATGAGGCTAAAAAGTCAACCCAATGATAGCTTACACTTATATGGTTGAAGATTCCATGGGTCCAGCCACAAAGATCAACCAGCCTGTACAGGGAGGCTAGTTTACATCTCAGCAGCTTCTCACCATCAACAAACCTGGGGCTCTTTACACCTTTCAGGTCATTGACTGGGGTGACGGTGGACGCTGAAATTATCAGGTCATCTTTCATTAACTCTCATACACAGGCAGAAAATAAAATAACATTTTCCTTGACAAAAAATAATATTCACCAGTTTTTATTTTACTCTTCATATTTAGAAAATGATTGTTATAAAAAAAGCTAAGTACTCTTTCGGACATAATGTCCATAGAGCAGATAATATAGATTTCTGCAAATGATTAGCACTGTGTTTTTATACAGCTTGAGTTCAGGTACCTATAAGAGCTGGGAGAACTCAGGTAGTTTACATAAAAGAATCTGTCCCAGAAACTGAACTCAAGACTTTCAGATAAGCTAATATTAATATGCGTTCTACCTCTCTGCCGCACATCTTATGTTCACATTAATGGGTAAAAATGGTTCCATAAATTCTTAATAACTTACCTTTGATAAAATTTCCCAAACTGCTTTTAGGTGAAACCGCCGTCAAATCCATGATCTCCTATGTATTACTCTATGACTGTCTATCCTCAACTCAGACCAAAACCTGGGTAGAATAAGTGTTGTGTTAGTATGCATCGTCACACCGTAAATCGGAGTATGTCCCCCCTTGTTATCTCCCATGTGTGACCAACGCTATCAAACAGACCGTCCCTAATTAGAGCAGCGTTTATAATTGAGGTCTTTGACGCGGTGTAGAATGTAGACTACGCTCAATAAATGGCGAAGCTGTATCAGGGATTGTAAAACTAGCATTTATGTATTACTATTAGCATATTAAGAATAGTAGAAAAATCGTAAGCGCTGCCCTTGTTAATATTTTTTCTAATTGTCGTCGAGATAAAGAGACCGTCACTAGTGTGGAGGTGTGTAGCTACGCCTCTGTAATATCAACGCCAGCTATTGCAGCACAGCCCGTAATACACAGATCACTACACACTTGCATGCTGACAACTGATAAGACACAAGTGTCAACACTGTGCAGGTTCTACGGTCAAATCACATTTGGCTTGACACGCTAAAAATCCTTCCATTGAATGAACTAACCGGCGTGTCGAGAAAAAAAAATAAACACGATATTATGTCCTATAAAAGACCTCACCATTCTAGCATAAGTAGGGCTTATGCTGGGGTAATCATAAAGCCAAACCTCGTATGTTTGAAATGGTGGTGTTCTGAAACACAGGATGACTTTAATGACTTAACAACTGAGTGGTTGCGTGGCGCTGCGTGTAAGCCCTAGGGATGCATTGTAAATTCACGTTGGAGATGTGTCAGCTAATCGGCCACTTCCTCTATACGAATAATCCCTTTTTATATATCGAAACTAAGCTTGAGGAAGATTAATTTGACAGAATGCAAATCTAGCTTTTAAATGTGGAAGGTGCATCAAAACTTTTTTTTACACCTTTGCTCAGCCCAGGGATTGGTCAAACATTGTAGGCCTACGTGACACAGTCATTGTCCACTCCCCCACCCCATACCCTCTCCATCCTCACATTTCGAGAATATGAAAGATACATACATTTGGGAAAAAAAAACTAGACATGTGCTATAGCTTCATAATAGGTTTTATATACCATGTTGCCAATGATAGCCCAATATATTTTTTAGAAATGATAATATTGTTATAACAGGACCCTTCTCGCCATATGCTGCTGTTTTAAATTACTTAGCCAAACGTGTGTGCTTTAACGATTATGATACGGTATTCAGTTCTAAAGAATTCGATCTAACACAGCTGAAAATATGTGGCAGGCCTGCTTTTCCACCCCACCCCATCAACCACAATGCAGAGAATCGGCGATTTTACATTAACCGTAAATGAAACGCTAATTATACGTAACCTAGTGTAACGCTAATACTTAGCTTTAAAGTACGACGTTTTGTTAATTGCGCTTTGGTTTAAGTAAAAGTATATAGATCAATAACATAACTATAACTGTTAACCAACACTCATCTATAAACATAAAATAACCTAACAAATAAAACATACACTAATGAGTTCTTTAACCAAACAATACCTCATACTAAGAGAAAACATGAGATCTAGGTGGGTATAGATCATTGGTGGGAGAGGGGGAGAAGAGAACGTCGATGTAACACAACAAGTAAATCTTTACGACTTTAGTCTACACTTTCACGTCGATGTAACACAGCAAGTAAATCTTTACGACTTTAGTCTACACTTTCACGTCGATGTAACACAGCAAGTAAATCTTTACGACTTTAGTCTACACTTTCACAAAGTGACAGAATGACAGAATAATGACACTTGTCAATTACAGCTTAGGTGTAGAAAAAAAAACGACATTTCAGGTCGTATCGAAGTTATTTTTGTTTTTTGCTGATAATGCTACTCTAGCCTAGGCCCAGCATAACTTCAACAGCAGTACCCAGTGGCGTAGGCGGGGGGGGGGGGGGTTAGGGGGGTTAGGGGGGTCATAAACCCCCCCCCCCCCATAGACCCCTCGGTATAGATATATAAAGTATGAGGGGGGGTGTAAATCGAAAGTTTGAGAGGGGGGGTGCAAATCGAAAGTTTGTCCCCGGGTAAAAATTGGGACCCCCCCCTTGAGACGATCCTGGCTACGCCACTAGCAGTACCTAAAAGTAAACAAGGAAACAAATCTCTGTTGCCATTTCAAAGGTGAAAATATATACATACAGATTTTGGAAACAATATTTTATACGCGAACTATCAATTCTGAATATCGCCAATTTCGACGTATGAAAGCTAGTTAAATAAACATGCCTAAAAAGCGCACATCTTTCCCTAACACTACCCAGTCATACTAAGCCACCCACCCCTCCTTTCCTTCAGATGACCACCTCACGATATAGCTCAATTATTTTGATTTAGTAGAACGATTAGCAGGCATGTGTCGCTCATTAAGACGCATGTTGACAGGTAAGCGCGTGTTGTTAGTCGCTGAGGATCTAACCTTCAATTAGCCTGACTGGTGTACAAAAATAAATAAATAAACACCGCTCTTGTTTAAAGCACTCTGTATCACAAACTGAATGTAAACTGCATTGGGAGGGTCATTTATAACAGACGCCACTATCTCCCAGGGTCGGAAGGGGGGGGGTGGCTTTTGAATTTTATGGGAGAAGGGGGGAAAGGAGAAATTAGACGTGTAAAGATTTTTTAGACGTCTCTTCGCCCTCCCACCCCATCCCGGAGCACGTACAATTTTTATAGAAAATATATACTTCAACCATTGTCCACCCCCCCACCCCCCGTACACACACGGAAATCAAAGAGCCCCCCCCCCCCCCCCCCGAGGAAAACACCTGAAAGATGAACACTGCTCTCGTGGCATGCTGTTTGTTTCTCTTTGTTGTTTTGTTGTGACTACGGGTGTTGTACGTGGGGAGTTATTGGTAGGAGGCTGGTGAGTAAGGGGAAGAGTGACTGGGGGGAAGGGGGGGGGGAGATATTGGCTAAAATTTCGTTGATTCAATTATGTACGGACTGTTGCTCCGTGTCTGTAGGGATTTACTCTCTCGTTTTATGATATGAAAACGTTTCTGTTGCCATGTTCTTAAAGCAGTGATGGCATGGATGGTGTGTGTATTATATTTAAATGGAGTGTCGTCTGGTAGAAATTAACCCCCCCCACCACCACCACCACCACCACCACACCCACACACATCATCTCCCATTGCAATGACCGTCACACCCCCATTTGACATTTAGCTTCAATTTTTTTTATTTCTAAAACTAACAGCGAAAAAAAAAAACTACAATCTATCTCATACAAGTTTTAATTAGCCATTTTTATTTCTGTTAGCCTGTTACGATCGCCTAAAATATAGATGCTTGAAATTTAATATAGTTAACCACAGCACTAACTAGTATAGAGTTACGGCAAGTGAAAATGTAACCGACGTCCATGTTTGCATATAATAGTCGCGAATCATTCCTGTCAAATTTAGACCGGCATTTACCCAGAGTAAAGTGAAAGGTCACAGTCTGTTGACACGACCAGTCCAGTGAGTAGCCAAAATAGGGTACATCGGTATGTTTACATACTCGGGGGCGTCACCGTAGGTGCTGTGTGGGTATGTTTTTACGAATATATAAATACATGTGAGGGGGGATGGTTGACGGGGGGGGGGGGTCGTGGTTGGGTGAGTGGGGTGAGACAGTCAGACAGACAGACAGACAGACAGACAGACAGACAGACAGACAGACAGACAGACAGACAGACAGACAGACAGACAGACAGGCAGGCAGGCAGGCAGGCAGACAAGGCAGGCAGACAAGGCAGGCAGGCAGGCAGGCAGGCAGGCAGACAGACAGACAGACAGACAGACAGACAGACAGACAGACAGACAGACAGACAGACAGACAGACAGACAGACAGACAGACAGACAGACAGACAGACAGACAGACAGACAGACAGACAGACAGACAGACAGACAGACAGACAGACAGATATAAATTATAAAAGCATTAACATTGTCCTGACACATAATTGATAGTTACGCCCACGCTCCCTTGCTGTACTAACTAAAATTAGCAGGCTAATATTACGAAACCTAGAACGTGTTACATTTTTGTTCTTGAACCTCCATCTCTTTAAACAGCAGCGGTCCTTTCTTTTATGTGGTAACAGAAATAAATTACTAGTAGCGAAAATGTCACAGATTTTAACAATGAGCTCAGGTCTAAAGCAATGGCCGCCTGACACCTTATAATAGTAAAGTACAACAACGACGCTACTTAATAAATCACCCGATTATTTCCTCTCAAACAGCAAAGCAATTCCCGACCTCCGCACCCCCACCCCGTCCCCCATCACCCTTCCCTCATCCATGACACATACACACGAGTCATCAGCGCCGGAGAAAGCTGGTTACATTTTTTTTGTCCTCATTCCTCTCGTTCGTGAGTTCACTCGCATGCACCACACACGTAACAGCGGGCCAAATCGATCATCGATGGCCAGAAATTGATCAGGGCTGCACCGAGTGCGTTCGTAATTTATTTAAAAAGAGCACGAACGTGGAGTAACACTGTCGGGATGCAGGGTTTCTTTCAGACTTTCTTTCTCCTGGGGAGTAGGAGGGGGGGGGGGGGAGTTGAAACTTTAAAGAGGGCGGACTAAATTTTCCATGAGGGGGTGGACACTAGCAAAGGTTTATATTTTATTTTATATATAAATTGTTTCGTTCGGGGGGGAGGGGGGATGTACTGAAAGAAACTATCAGGATGGGTGGGGTAAAATGAGGGAGCCTTGTTTCACCTCTTTGTAACAGAATAATGTTAAATGGTACAGAAAATTCGAAACATAGATACGACTATATTTCTTTACGGTGGCAATCCGCAGTCTAGGGCTATGGCTAGGGTTCGATTAGTCAGAGGGCAAGATTACAGGTTACTACAGTATAGGCTGATATCAAATGGTGTTTATTGTGTGTATAGTGTGTTTGTGTTTGTCGTGTTTGTGTGTCAATATTTGCGCGTGTAACTGTTTATTCGTGAGTAAATATTGTGCGTATTAGTTTGTGGGCATGGTTGCATGCATCATTGTATATGAGCGTGCATGCGTTTGCGTGTGTGTTTATGTGCGTTTGTGTGTATTTGTTTGGGTGTGCGCGTGTGTTTGTGTCTGTGCGTACGTGTGTGTGTATTGACCTACACAGGAAAGCACCCGTTCAACGCGTACGTGTTAACCATATCAACCCAACGCTAATTGCAATATCCATTACACTTCATTACACAGAGAAAAAATAAGAACACAATCAATGCGAAACCTGAGGTATTATGTCGAGCATGCCACAGGGATACTGGCTCAACCCTCGTAACTATGTCACGGTCGCTCGCGTGGACAGAGAGAGAGAGAGAGAGAGAGAGAGAGTGCTATGCGGCCACAATACACACGGGTCAGGGGGGGGGGGGGGGCAAGGAAATGTTTTAGCAATGGTGACCTCATGGTGAATGTTGAATAATTTTAGCGCGGACACAAACATGGACAGAATGGGGATGGCGTCGTTTATGCAAGGGTCAGGGGGGGGGGGGGGGGGGAAAGAGTTTCTTCCAGGCATCTCTTCGGGGGGGGGGGGGGAGTCTACCGCCCCCCCCCCCCGAACGAGATGGATTTTATATAGTAAACAAACACTTTTACTAGTGTCCGCCCCCGCGAAAAATGTTGACCCCCCCCCCCCCCCCGAAAATTTCACGGTCCCCCCCCCCCCGGAGAAAAAAAGTCTGGAAGAAACACTGGGGGGGGGGGGGCATAATGCTGTAGACTCCTAGACAGAAACATAGGGACAGAAAACAGTGAGTAAACTATGAGAGTCTAGGCGCAATAAATAGATCTAGATCTAATAACAGATTACTTTAGATCTCGAATCTAGATCTCTAGAAGAAAATGCATCTTACAAATAACTGTTACTTAGTTATTATTGGAACTAGATTCTAGATCTAGATTCTAAAATCTAGATTACAGTGTTTCCTTCAGAATTTTTTTCTCCGGGGGGGGGGGGGGGTGGCTCTTGAAATTTTCGGGGGGGGGGGGGAACTAAGATTTCCGGGGGGACAGACACTGTAAAGTGTAAAGAAGAGATGCCTGGAAGAAACAGTTTTTATATTATAAATATAAGCCAAGGTAAAAGGGTGGGGCGGTTGGGTGGGACCCTAAGCCCTAATGGAATGACATGCCTAAATACTAAATAATCTAGAATCAACTACTGGAGAATCTAGATTCTAAATCAGGTCTACTCTCTAGATCCTAGATTCTAGTATCTAGTAGAATGTAGATAGAATCTAGATTCTAGATTCTAGATCTAGATCAATTACGACTAGATCTAGATCTATATATTAGTAACAAGTACAAGCCATTTGCATGTCACCTGCAGTAGGCCTAGCCTTGTGTAAAGCGCTGTCCTCAATTGCCACACGGGCATGACCTGTCATGTAGAGGTCACATTGATGATAACACCATTGCTACAGACTACAAACAAGACTCCCCCGTCGTCGGCACGCACACTGTCGCACAGGTACTAAATTTTACACGCAGCTGGGCCTACACAAACACGACAATGACACACGGAAGGAAAGGAATCAAAAAGTCTATATTATATCTTACCTTCTGCCTCTACCGGTTAAAGTATAACCCCGCTGCTTTTACATAAATCCTTCAAATAGAAAAATAAACGTGTCCGGATTGTGTGTGCACTATCACTCACTTCAATCGCCTGATTCACTACACCGCCATTTTTTTATGTATCGACCGCCCTTGTCAGAGCTGTGTGTCGCTGGTGGTATCGTCCAGCTGAAATTATCGAACACAGCAGAAAGAAAAAATAATAATACTAGGCTTACTAAGGCGTGCTGTTAGTCAATAACGGAATGACATCACCGCATTTTATTAGTTGATGCATGCTTAGTATTAAAATTAATCAGTTAGTATTATTTAATTATATGTAAAGCTAACTGTGTCGTTAATAAAACAAACAATAGTAGATCTACTTTTTTATTTGGCATAGATCAAGCTAGATGAAGTAGTATAGGCCTAGAAGAAGATCTAGATCTAGTAGACTTTCCAGTTATATTATCAGCCTTAAGAGTGTCACTGATGGCTGGATGTTTTTTTTTCTGCAACTGTTTTAACTTGTGAGAAACGTAGACTAGTTTACGTTACAGGTTAATAAGTATTAAAGTATTAAAGTAAGTACGCCAAGGTCAGTGTAACTACACCAAACTATACTTCGCGAAAAAAAAATATTTCGATACTGCCCTACCGAAGCTACGAAATTTCTGTCACAAAATCAGTGGGTGGCCTGTCAAAATGTAAATGCTTCGTTCATCAAGTTGGCTATTAATCATAAAGATCTATGTAGTGAGACAGCCTGTGGTCTAAACTAGGCTATTCATTTACCAATCGAAGGGCTGTCAGGTAAAAAGAAAATTATAATAATGAATGAGCACAAAAAGAAAAGTCGAAGCTATTTTTATGAAGGTGCAAGTCACGGAGTAATGCGCGCGAAATATATTCAAACCTTCGAAGTTTAAATAATAATTTATTTATGTTAGTGGCCGTCCATAAATGACGTATAGGGGGGGGGGGGGTCGTATTTTTTACTTTCTCGTATTTAGGAAGTATAGAGAAAGTCTTGTAATCGTGCAAAAAAAGTCGAGATTTTTACAAATCTCGACGTTTTACACCTCACTGATACGGAAAAACATAATTTTGCAATCTTGTCCGTATGTCTGTGTGTCTGTCTGTGTGTGTGTGTGTGTGTCCGTGTGTAAACACGATTACTTGAGTACCGTTACAGCTAGGTTGATGAAATTTCATATATAAGTATTTTATCAAAATCGTAGATCCGTATCAACTTTTGAGCGATTTCCGATAACCGGAAGTGGTACTTTTCCTACTTTGAATTTTTCAAAAGCCTATAACTTGAGTACTATTTCAGATAGATAACTGAAGTTTCACATGTAAGTAAAAGATCTAATTCTCTATCTTCTGTTAAATTTTGAGTAATTTCCGTTGACCGGAAGTAGTAATTTACGATACTTCCGATTTCTCAAAAAAAAACGAATGTAAATTTTTAAAGTACTAATAATATTGCGCACTATTATGCACTTTTTTATTTGGCGTTCACTTGGTGTGCAATTCTTTTGTCTACGAGATTTTATTCTATTTTTAAAACTTTAAGTATTTAAAATGGATTAAAAATCATGTCTATAGCCCGAGTTCCCATCCCCTGTTATTTTATATAAGAATATTCGAGAAAGTGTAGAGGAGATCACTCCCGGTTTATTTTTACTATCATGATGAGGGGGGGGGGGGGGGGAGCGCTGTTTTTTTGTGACAACGGGGAGGGGGTTGGAAAAAATTGTCCAGAAAAAGGTGACGTCATATACTGATGACCCCCCCCCCCCCCCCCCCCTTATCGTGTTTCATATAAAGGCATAGAAAATGTTATCCAAACCTTTATCGATATTTTAAATATATATGCATTTTACTTGTTTGTTTGTTAAACATATTTTGCAAACTCAAGTGGCCTACAGCATAATAAATGTTGATATCAAATGGTAAAGGCTGAATGAGTTGGACAAACAGCCTAAGTCTCTGACATGTGGTCTTTATACCGCTGACTATGAGTATACTGCGATGGCATCTTATGACAAATGTTGAATGTAGTGTCTATTTCACACATAATATAGTGTAATTAGAAATTTAGTACTAAATTCTCATGTGCCAATACATCGTTAGTAGCCTACATAGTTTTGGGTTTTTCTCAAACTAGCCAGAGGTGCAAAACGGCTCAAACAGTCGAGGGGGAGGGGGGAGGAGGGGGTACGACAACTACGTCAGGAACCATAACATCAGGATTGGCAACAACATTCCACTCTAAGGAGCAAAAGCTTGTGTGTAGCACGTATTTTCTGTTAGCGGTACTCTGAAACAACTAGATATACAAAACAGGTCAGTTTACAACTACGAGCAGTTTAGAGAGAATGTGCATTTGCACCAGTTTAAAGGCTTCCTTTTAATAATTTTATGCCTATCTTAAAATATTAAATATGAGAAACGTCACGAATGTCTACACATGATTATGAAGCATCAACAGCTCACAGGCCTTGGGTAGAACTCAACCACAGCTAAAGGTAGCAGAGCCTTATCAGGCATCCCTACTAAAAAGCAATATAAATGCACTGACTAGTGTACTTCATTATGTATTTACTCATGAAATGGTTGTAACTTTAAGTATATCTGCTCAACAATAGATAGCAATTATAACTTGAAAATAGGCAACGTTTTGCAATATTATCTCCATTATCGAAGACTAAAAAAGTGCCAAGCAATATTTATTCTATCCACACATGTAAGCAATTTTAAAAATAATTACATTGTTCCATAGAAACAGGTGAAGATTGCAAACATGCTTTTAACTTCACCTCACATTATAATTTCTTTTTCGTTGCATGTAAGTTGTAACCAGGTCACCAATAACTAAAACACATCAAGAAAAACAAGTTTAAGAAAACTGGTTGTTAAATTATTAGTCTTCAGTTTATTAACATTTTTCGTACTTATTTACATAATTCAACTACGTCAAAATATACACATGAAACAAATTGCACACATCCACACTTACATCATCTCTCCCACACGCCCTAATGATCATTAAAATGTAAGCAGGTATCTGTAATGAGATCCCTGCCTGTATGTTGAATGCATTATACAAGAGCACACAAGTCTCTGGTTGAAAACATATACAATATAGAATAAAAATATATCTTCATATAAAAATTAACAAGTACTTTTTTTGTGTTTAAAAATTGTGAGCAATGCATAACTACAGTTGCACAACATTAAACTTGGTGCTAAGAGTTCCAGTGACACGTTTTATCAGAGTAATTTTTTTTTAATTATGTAAAACCAATTGGTTTTAATGTGATAAAGACACCCTATATCAGAATTTTTAAAATTTGCCTAACAACTAACATACAAACTGGAAGGCACAATAATTCATTGGATGATGTACAAGAAAATGACAAGAAACCCACGCTCACTATCCACCAGTGTTCATTGATTTCTTTGTCATGGTACCTATGGCATTCCTAGAATGCAAAACAATTTCAAGTTTAGCAACTAAAATAAAATAGAATGTACATTTTTTTATGACTATCAACAGTGCTAAGGACTGTTTTTCAGTATAAAAAAAAAAAAAAACCAACACTCTTTTGAAAAAGTTTTAAAAATTCACAAACATTACTCTGGTTCTGTTACCCTATAAAACACTAAAGCTTAAGTTTGACCACAGTATTCAATAACTACAAGTAGTTCAGGAAGCAATGACTTTAAATACCAAAACAAAAACTATGAAATTATAGAGCTGATCTGGATTTCTACTCAAATATAGCTATTAGCAACACATTTAAAACATTTAAGTTACACATCTCAAAAAATCTAGTGAAAAAAAATTAATCATAAAATGTTCACCAGGAATTAATTAATTACTTAGAATGTCTTGTTTTGGATATACATGAATAAAATTAGCCCCAGCAGCCAAACAATGATATAACCAGTGACCCACACTTAATGTGTTCACACTGGTCTGATAGAGCCACACTGACCAACAGCCATAGGAGCCACACTGACCTACAGCCATAGGAGCCACACTGACCTACAGCCACATGAGCCATTCTGACCTACAGCCATAGGAGCCACACTGACCTACAGTCATAAATATCTACATAATTAAAAACAGCACAGAGCTTTTTTTTTTATTTGCAGTGTAAAGTGTTGAACGCAACAATATTCACAGCAGTGTAATGACATGATTTTGGTTTTTGTTTTTAAAAAACCTGGCAACAATGAAAGTGTAAGTACATAAGACATGATCATACAACATGCAGATTTACAGCACTCACCGCTACACATACCAATAAAACATTTTTTTCTCCGAGATATAAAAACAAAATTGCACACTGAACTTAAAATGAAACGGTCTTTTTAAAGAAATTTTAAATAAAAGCTAGCTACAAGAAAATGTCTATTGATAATTATAAATAGGATAATTTTGTTACACCTATATATACATGATGTGGGTTTCATTAAATATTCAGAAGGTGATTCTTATAATTTAGTGTTAAGTCTATCTCCTCCAAAAATTGATAGTAATAGACCACGGTCTCTGAAATTTTGGTTATATGTGGTTGTAGAACACTTTAATAATTGGCATTTGACAGTGTTTCTCAACATTTTTCTTATGCTTCATTTTGCATTATTTTATGTTAGCCTTTGACCATCACCTAATTAGTGATGTTTGAGTATAAGGTACAATCAGCCTTAACTTAAATAGTAGAAGAAATAATGAGAATATGTAAGCAATATAGCACTGAATGCCTGGCATAATTTAATATATTCATAAAATTTGTCTGACAGGTTTTGTAATACACTCGTCATACAGAGTGCTAATTTGGTTTACAAATTAAAAAAAAAATTTAAGTGACTAATTTGTTTTAGCGTGAATCATTGAGGTAAAAAATTAAAGCATATGGGATGTGGTACTACTTTCACACAATTTATTAACATAAAAAAACTGTCTTGTAAAGATAACATGTATACATTTCAAAGCTAATGAGACAAAGACTTGGGTAGAAAGTTGCATAACCCACTAATATGCCACTACTGAGATCCAGTTGAAACATTCTTCTAGCCAGAAAAAAAAATTGCATGGGTATTTTTTTCTTAATTTATTTTTAAGTTCAGTAGAAAAAAAACAAAAAAAAACAACTAGAATTTCGGAAGTTTACTGACAAACTAGTTAATGAAAGATAAGTGATGAGATCACCAGTAGAGCATTAAATGTCAAGAAATGTTTTTCTTAATTACTTTGCATCTTAATGCATAAATTAGGATCACAAGGACAACACTGATCATTTCCGCAACAATGCACAATGAATAAAATTCAATTCAACATTATTTGGTCAAGAAACATGAGTGCCTACGTTTGCTTTACAACAAAATCCTATCTCTCATAACAATGGGAAACTAGTTATATCCCACTATAAAATGTTTAAAACAAAAAGAGGAATACTGTTTCCATATTAGGAAATGTTTTGGTGAAACATTTTATTTTCTAAAGGCCATCAAGTATATTAACATAAAAAACCTGTGTATATTACAAAGTGTTAAACTGCCAATGAACTTGAAGCCATGGAATCAGTAGAACCTCTCTATAAGAGGTGTAGGCTGAATTATAATTACAAATTATTTACAGGGCATTCAAGACAACAAGGGTGGAAGATGGGACAAATTAATGGTTTAGTAATGATCGTCAAACAGGTCCATTGTGTACAACAGTTGCAGCATCATACATTTCCTGAGCTTCTTTAGCCTGAGCTCTGTAAAGTGAGGAAATCAGAACATTGAAAGTAAATGACTTAACTGTAATAAGTAAACAGCATTTTAGTTAAACTGACACTGGATATATTTAGTTAAATGACTTGACTGTAATAAGTAAACAGTATTTTACTTAAGCTGACACTGGATATAATATTTAGGTCCTAGGCTACACTAACCTTGCTTGTTCAATTTTTTGAGCTTGTGTTAATGTGCAGTCTGTAGTGTCAGGCTCTTGACTCGCAGTGTCTTCACCACTGGCTAGCAAAGTGGTGCTGTTAAGTATTGGTGGTGGTACGGCTGCAGCAGGGGGAGAGGATGGTGCTGCAACTGGTCCGTTGCCCTGTAGTTCTGATGGAAGTCTACTAGAAGGGCAGGCTGCTGGTAAAGGACTAGCTTTCTTCAGCAGTCCTGATGCTGCAAGGAAGCTGCAAAATCAACATAACACTCATTATGTTTACAAAATCGAAATGAATTCACATTTCACATGTACATACACAACTCCGACTCGCACATATTTAACTTTTTTTCTCATACTTGGATCATGTAAATAATTAACTTGTTTTTAAAGCAATCAAATATATTATATTAGAGTTAGAATAGAACAAAAATTAAAATTACCACCTGATATGAACAGCTAAACAAAACAATTTATGGCAATTCTCTTAATAAAACAGTAAATACAATAGCTATGGTACAATTAAAATCATTTAATTCTCTTAAACTCAAAGGGGTTTATTTCACATTTAAAGGATAAAAGGGGTAAGCAGCATCATTAAGAAAATATTTTGTTCAACCTATACTTTTGTACAAAATATTTTCTGTAAAAAGTGTAAAGGTACAATTTATATATAAGTTTGTGAAATTATTTCCATGTTGTAGCAGTATCCACCAACATCTCTAAATATTTAGTTTACAACAACAACGTTATCTGAAAAACGTACCCCCCCCCCCCCCCCCAACAAGATTGGTTCTATGGCACAAGTACTTTAGATGCTGTTTCTTTTAAAAAGCAAGAAGTGAAAATTTTTTAACATGTGTTTTATGAACACATTAAATTAAAGCAACTGTGGCCAAGATTTGCTCAAAGTGATTTTAAAATAAACAACATTCAGCAACAAAACTATTACTTCATACTAAACTAATGAGTATTGGTAAAGAGATATTTGATATTTTGCCCATCAAAAATCTGTAGTTGTTCTCTAAGAATACAGTGTGTATATAACCAATACAATGAAGCAACGCAGTGAAACAATAAAAAGGAGAATAAAGAACACAAACAGGAAATAAGCTTGGGAATCCAATTTGCAAATGATCACTTTAAACTTACTTGAAATTGTCCCCTAAGTCATTTCCATCACAACCTTCTTTCTCTACATTTTGCCTATTTTGTTTTGTTAATAAGGTTAGTTAGCGTGGTTAGTAATGGAGCTGGGATATGGAGGTGGACCAACTAGTAGGCCTACTATTTTAACACTACAAATTTCATAAACCTATTTTTTAAAAACCCAAAACACTGAGTAGCAAATTTACTTCACAACACATTGAATTTTTTTTTAAAACTGTTTTAAAAAGTTAGAAAAACTACTAATAAAATAATCAAATTTGAGAAAAATGAAAAAGGAAATCACTTAAAGAAAGTAATACCTTTGATTGTCTGGTGGTGATGAAGTCACCTGAACATCTGTAGAGCTGGAAGATGAAGGGGCATCAACGACTGCAGAGGGGTAGCTTGTGACAAGATCAACAGAGCTGCCCTCTTTGGTGGGTAATGAAGAGGACACATGGGCTGATGTTGAATCTGAGGAAGCATTTTCTATCCCATCGCTGGTTAACAGCTGAGCTGTTTCGGAGGAAGTACTATTAAAAAAAAGATATGGTAAATTAGTGATGAAACTGACCTATTATGTCCATACAAAAAGTAATGTACAAATTTATTTTAATAATGAAAATTGCATAACTATGCAAGTTTTGAACAGTTATAAGAAGTATTCTTTTCTTACCTAGTAACTTGTGAATCGGCTGGAGAAAGGGTGGAAGGAAGAGGAGGAGGGGATGAATCTGGGGGTGGAGGTTGATTGTTGTTGTCTATACAATTGGAGGTTTTTGGCTCAAGCTCCTGGTTCTGTGATGTCGAGTCAGGTTGAGGGATGCAATTGTCATCTTCCAAATCTGTGAGGCGTATATCAGTAGACTCAGAAGATGAAACACCTAACAAATATCAATTATTACTACTGTTTTAAAAATTCACTAGTTTATTATCAAGAGATTTAATACATCTTTAACTTGTCTAACAGAGAAAAAAAAATGAAATGGAACTTGTCATACCTTGTAAACTCAAAGGAACAGCTGGCATATCACCTTTGCCAAGGTTGGTCGAATTTGATGACACAACTGAGAAATGAAATTTAATATTAACTTCCTCATTCTAGCTCAATGAATATCTACATCACAAATTTGTCAAAAAATTAATAAAACTTACCATATAAACTACTCCTTGTGTTTTCTGTGGTGTCCATCGCTACCGGAGAACTGCTTCTAGGACCATGAGTGGTTCTAAAAATTAATAGATGCATTTAAGGTTTTCATCAAAATGTATTTAAAATTTTATAAAAAAATGAATTCATACAGTCCATTATCGATAAATAATCGGAGACTTGGAGGGTCACGAAGACAAATACTGATAAGCTACAGGCATTCGTAAACAAATGCTTACGACATATACTTAAAATAAGATGGCCAGACAAAATAACAAAGACCTGTGGCGAACTTTAAAGCAACAGCCAATAGGCAGATATCAAGGCCCGAAAATGGGGATGGATCGGACACACATTAAGGAAAGAAAAAGAAAACATCGCACGGCATGCTTTGGACTGGAATCCCCAGGGAAAAAGGAGGGTGGGCCGGCCAAGGAAGACATGGAGGAGAAGGGTTGAAGAAGAGGCGCAAACAGCTGGGCATACATGGGCACAGATAAAGGGGGCAGCCCAAAACCGAGTCCGATGGAGATGTGTGGGTGCAGCCCTTTGCTCCCCAGGGGCCACAAAGGAATGATGATGATGAATCTTTGTATAGAGTTCTTAAATGAACAAAATAAATACACTTACGACTGGATATCACTAAATGCTGCAAAATCTGCCCAGTTTTCGTCTTCACCGGACTGCGTTGGAACACTGGTAAAGTCTGCCCAGGCTTCCTGAGCTGAAGGCATGGCCGGAGCAGTAGATTTCTCCCAGGGAGATGTAGTGTCCATTGCAGTGTGCTCTGTATGAGAACTGGAATCTGCTGACCAAACATCTGTAGTGAATTTTTGCAATTGGGTGAACAAATTTTAGGAATTAATATTATACTAAATACCAATAAGAAAAAACAAGATAAATTGGACAAAGGGAATAAAATATTTCAAAACTTACTTTCTGCATTATCCACATCCATGCCTTCTGTTGTTTGTTGTACAATTTTTACAGGTGAGTCTAATTCTTCACCACTATCTGTGCTGTCTTCATCGCTACTGTTGCACCTTGCAGTAGCAGCCGGTAAACGTCTGTCAGGGAAAGTGTTTGTAAGCTATTATTCAAGTTTACACAACTGCCGCAAATTCAAATGCATTGCAGTTTCTATTAGCACAGATCATTAACAGAATGAAAAAATCTAAATTAAGTTGGCAGATATTCATGCTAACATAACCTAGTACAATCAAAGAGATTGCAACCTTCATTTTATATACAAAGAGACTTAGAGTTAATTTATTAAAGAAAAGTATTTTTAAAAATTCAAAGAACTAACTAAAAATGAAAAGAATATAACATACTCTGATCTTCCTTGATGAGCTAATGTTATAGGTTTCTCTTCCCAGATGTCTTCATCACTATCATCATTTTCAAACTGCTGGATCCTCTCATTACATACCTGTTCAAAGAGGGCAGTACCCGTTTGCTGTAAAAAAAATTAATTCATGTTAAACAAAGTAACACCTAAAAGTATTGTTCTTTGATATAAATACTCATATAAAAAATACACTAACATTTGTCTCGACCACATCAGAATCAATACTTGATATCCTATCTGTGAAAGATGACCTGGAAAAAAAAAGATGTCTATGTATCAGCCAGGTCTAATATCTAATTTTAAACACTAATTTATTTTATCATTTTCAAATCAAGGTGATCAATTAATTAACTGCCCACTTGTTTTTCTGTTATCCCCTCAAAGTATATTTTGCATTAACTAACCCCTGTTAATTAATTAACCATGGTAGTGAAAAACTAACAGGTTTTTCATCTGATGCAAAAGTTTGTTCATAAGGACCATATTTTGACAAAAAACTATCTTTAAAAAACAACACATGGGTCATGATTTAAATAACGTTAAAAGATATGATGGAATCAAGGCCTATGGTTACAAAATATATCCACACTTACTCAATTTTATCATCCTGTTCAGCAAACTCTTCATCATTGAAGCCAAACTGGTCAATAAAATTACTGGTCATCTGCTGTAACTGATAATCCGAGAAGGCCTGGGAAAAAACAGGGAGGGGCACCCAGGCGCGTCATTTCATTACAGAGGTCTTATACATGTGTTGTTGTTTAAGTTAAATTAAATGCAGTCACTAAAACTTGTGCATTAGTCACTGCATTTAAATTTAGAAAAACAGCAAAATACATTTTTATATAGGAGCTTTAAAATCTTTAAAGAACAAAATAAAGAAAACGTTAAATATTTAAAAAAAATTTAAATAGCTATCGTGAGATAATGACAAAAGTTAAGTATTATAACGACATGACTCACCTGTTGCATGGCAGTGTCTCCAGGGAAAGGGTTATCCTTGAAGTCAGCATCATCATCCTCACTGCTTGATGCAAGTGGATGACCACGCATCTAAATTTTTAATAAAAATAGTCTTTACATCAATCTGTACTTACACTACTTTAACATAACTTTTTACAGCCATTTTCAAATCTTTAAAAAATCTTACCAACTCTATTGTGTTCCTCTTGTTTACTTCTGCTAAAGAACCAGCAACAAAAGCTTCCCATTTTGTTCGAATATCCTCTGAAAGCCCTACAGATATGAAAACATTTTTAGATAATAAGGTCATCCAAAAATGACAACTCTTTTTAAAGATTTACAATCTTAAATTATATCCTTCTACTAAAAATGTCAGTGTATAATTACAGAATGCATAATTTATATATGTATATAAAAAAATCATATCAGTAACCTACCATTAAATTGATCCTTTACCAGACTATTCTCAGATTTTTCTACTAGTGCAGCGATGGAATTAGCCATTTTGGTTAGATGACCCATAAAACCGCGCCTTTTTCCAGAAGGTGCATTTCTAAAATAAAAAAGAAATTTTCAAAATTAAAAGCTAGCATTCTAGAAAAAAAAAAATCACAAAATCTTCAGTCAGAACCTATACTGCAGGGCTTACTAATTTTAAATCAATTATTTATCTTAATAACAAAGTTTACTCAACGGGTCAACAGCAAAAATAAAATGTTATATTTAACTTACTGCTGCTGATCGTTGTCCTCCCATTCACTCAGAAGCCTTTGTATTAAATTGTACTCAATAAATAACTGAAAAATAAGGTTTAATAAAATTTAAATCCACTGATTGTCTTAAAAATAAATCGCAACATCATAGAAACACTGTGGCATAGCCAACCTGTATCAGTAGTGGGTGCTCATGTTTGCCATCTATTTCAATGGGTCCATTATTAAGTATGATAAGCAGGCACTGCTCTAATTGTGTGTGAAGAAAATTATTCCACTCATATTTAAAATACAAATTCTGCAGAGATAAAAAAAAAACTTGTCAATGGCTAGTAAAATGATTGGTGCTAATTGTACACTTTTTAAAACATTAAAATCTTTGTTTTTGAACAATCATCAACAGTATTCTCCTTCAGTTATTACAAGTATTATCCTTCGGTTAATACTTTACAAAGTTTCAATGCTTAATATTTTACAAAAGAAAAACTTACAAGAAGAGTTTGAATAGTTCCAAGACTTGCCAACTCTACATTCACTTCATGCATGTTAGCACCAACCAAAGCTGTGACTAGCTTAGCCACCTGAAGCCTGGTGTTTCCTAAGGGCGGATCCAAAGTGCCGACAGATGTTGGCATGGTGCTATACCGTTGCTAAGAAAATACATGTAAAACTATTCTGATCATACTGATAAAATAAACTTCAACAAATACACTATAAAAAGTTTGCTATGGTATAATTTGGTAAAAGTTTCACAAAATAGTTCTATGCAACTAAATGTCTTTAAAAAGGTTAGGCATCGTATACCTTGGGTGGATTAACCAGCAAATCATGAAAATCCTTTAACCTTGGAATGATGGCTGCTATAACATTGTTAATGCCTTGTGTATACCTGTCAGTTTCACCATTAGGAAGCTGATCATTTATGTCAGAACTGAAATAAACCACACCAAAGATTACAATTTAGTGTTTTACAACAGGCAGTAAAAACGTGTCAGCTAGGTAAAACTATGCCCATAATCATTACTACAGATTAACTATGGATTCCAGCCTAAAATCTTAGTAAACAAAATAAGTAAAACTTCTATTTTCTCAAATATAGAGTAACACAATTGATATTGATTGTAAAAACTTTTTTACCTTTGCCTTCTAACTTCCAACAATGTGTGAATAACACAGAGACCATTTACAAGAACAGATTCATTCTTATCTGAGTCAAACATGTTGGAGAGAAGTTTGGAGACTGTGATTTCCCTAAGAACATAAAATTTTAAATATACTGTAACATTGTAATCAGTTATAAATATTTAGTTTTTAAGTAATTTTTAAGTAATATATATATATTAGTTTGCCTTTACATAGCAAAAGAGTCGCTAACAACTTACTTTTCCATTGTGACTAGGAGGGGATCAGGATCAGAAGAATCATGCTGCTGTATAAATTGTTCTCTGCCCAAGCGAACAATATCACACAATGACTGTGCAGCATTACAATGGATCTAAAGATTAAATTAAAACAATATCACAAATACAGATACCTAATGAACAAATTTTTTTATGTTTAAAAGATAAAAATTATTAAATATGACAAACATTCAAATTTCACAAAATGGTTATAAAAGTTATATACTTACATCTTCATCTTTGGCAACAACAATGGAATCAACCAGTTTTTCAACAATCTTCTGATCATTTAGCCACTAAAGAATATGAATAAAAGACAACAGTTAATATTTACACAAACATCTGCATTAAAAATAAATACCAAAACACAACTTAAAGCAGCCAATTACCTCTATTACAGCTCTGCGTGTGTCTGTTGATTCTATGCAGGTAATTAGACGAAGCAACAAATCCATGACAGCTGATGTTCCAATGTGAAGCAGGAGACTTCCTACAAAGTCTGGTTTGGCTTTTAGGTATTCAAAGATCTAAAACATTAAAAGTAATGTAACTGTCAAGTGTGAAAGAAAAATCAATTGAAATTGTTAAAATTAATTATATATTATAAATATATTTTAATACAAGTGTATGTATTTTCATACCATATCACTTTTCCGGGTAATTAACAGCCCCATAACTTTGCTGAAGAATGAAGCTAACAGTGGATTCAATGGTTTCTCTCCTTCAAGGAAGGTATAAAGCTTATCAACCAGTTCTTCATCACCTGCAAGTTTCTCGTTGATCTGTGTGACATCAGAAGTCAGGAGCTCGCAGGCAGTGTTAGGATATCTGTCAAAAGAATAGTGTTTAAGCTTTCTAAATAAGGGTAAAAAATAAAACATTCCCTAATATGCAGTAAAACATGGAACCAAGCATCAACAGAGAAATCTATAGTAAATGATTTGACACAAAATGATGCTGTAATCCATTTTTACATACTCTATAATGAATTAACATTGTGCTCTTATTAAATCTTGTTATTTAATGGAAATCTAGTAATAATAATTAAAACTTACTTGAATCTAATTTTCTCATCAACATCCATAGGAGGCTCTACAGTTATAAGTTTGACCATTTCCTCCATGTTTTCTGGCTGAATCAAACTTTAAAAAAAGTTTTCAAATACAATTCAGAATTTAAAACAGCAACAGTAAAAATATTTACAGATTTCAGGTGCAAGAAAAAAACTACTTACAAATCAACCAATTTTCGATTTTGAGCTTTACATTCTTGCAGAATATCATCTTCATCCATAAGCTCACGGAGTGTGACATCCTACAGAACATAATAATAATTAAAATGTGGCAAAATTATTCAAAAACGTTATGTGATAATGAATTTGTTGGCTAAAGTATGTTTACAAAATAAATTTAAATTACCTCTTTATCCAACAGAGTATCTATATGTGAAGATGTTAGCAGATTAAACTTCCAAAACATTATCTAAGGGAAAAGAAAAACATTCCAAAACATTATCTTAGGGAAAAGAAATTAATTAAAGAATTCACTTAATCATTTAGAATGGAATATCAAGAATTTATTTTTCGTGCCTCCTGATTAGATTTATTTTAAAATTGAGTAGTACATTACATGAGTATGTGACAACTTACACAAGACTATATGCTTCAGGGTTAGGTGCATATCAAGCCGGTTTTTAATAGTTTAATTTATGTTTGCTAACAAATGGGATTGATTTAAAAGGTATGGAAGTAAATTAGCTTAGAATCTGCATTGGCCTTCCTTACATCAACAATAAAGTTTGTGATTGTGTGTAGGTGTTAACAGTCTTTATTTAAACAGTAAGTTGGAAGCAGTAATGTAGGTAAAATAGTTGCAGGAACAGACAGTAATTTCCATCAATTTAGGAAAAATGTAGACTAATTTCTGTCCTTTTTTAAACACATGAGTTAAACAGCTACAATAACCTCAAGTGGGGGAAAAATGACATCAGTAGGCATATAGTATTGTTCCATATATAAAAAAAAATAAGGGGGTGATTTTTTCTTCTTCTGGGAACTTGAATAGCCTGCTTGATTTTGACTCACCACTTTTTATGGATTAGATTTTTTTAAAATTGGTAACTGAGAAATCTATAAAACAATATTTAAATTAATGATGCTAGTTTTGAGATAATTAACTGACTTCAAAATTTAATATTTAGCTCATTCTTACAATATTTTGGCTAGATCTAGGTTTTAAGATAAACCGTCTTTTTACTAAGCAAAAAAATTATTTCGTTTTTTGTCTCAAATCGGTCCAATATGCATATTTTACTATATTAAAATAATTAGGACGAATTTCTGGAAAAAAAAATTAGGCCAACTAAATGAATATTGAGATAAAACAAACACAATAAACTATAGTCCAATTATTTTCAAACAAGTGTATAGGCCTATAGTCAATTGTTCAGCTTGCCAGTTAGGTACATTTTTTTGTTTTCCATACCCACACAATCAATAAGTCTGTCTCACTAATTTTAAATTGTTGTTTTCAAATTTAACTTGTTCCATTACAAAGTATACCAGGCCTATAAAAGATAAAACCCTAATTATGGTGAAAACTGATTTAGGCCTGAAATAATTCATTTTTGAAAATTTCAAAGCTCCTTGCATCGACTAAAGACATTCAAAGAAAAAGTGAAATTGTACAAATCTCTATCTGGCATGCTGGTTAATACTATAATAGTAAGCTTGATATTTGTCATGTTTCCTGTGTTTTATAATTAGTTCATAAATTTAGCCTTTCTGATAGCTCACTTTTACTGCCTATGCACTGAAAACATGATAACTGGTGTTGTAAATTTCTAAACTGTTGCAAAGTAGGCAAGGCAATTCAGAGATGTATGGAGTGATGGGCTCAAATCCCATCTGGATTAATTGAATTGTTTCAGTTCTATCTTTAGGCCTACTACGACAATAGGGCCTATGTAGAATCTATGTACCTGAGTCTACCTTTGACATTAAAATAACACTTTAAGGCATGTGGATATTGGTTTTTCCAACCGCTCTTCATGTATTTTAAAAATTTATTTTTGCAGCCACCAGCTTAGTGACAATTTGTCAAAAAAAAAACACACCAATGGATGCGGGCGAGAAAGTATTGGAGAGGCCAATTAAATAATTTTAAAATCATGCACGGCGTACTTACAATTAATAATAATATGGTTATAAAATCCTGTCTGTCTGGTTTTTTTCGGACTTTACTAAAGATTGGATGTAGGGGCCTATTTGATGTTTTTAATATTTTCGGTAGCCCTACTAAATAAAGATTTAAAAAAGCAAAAACAATTTGGTTTTCACGTGTAATGGCAACATAAACAATAGCATCCTGCTTTTCAATAGGCTGCCATAAATTTTATCGTACACATTGTAAGCGAAAAAAAAAGGAAAACTAGGTCATGGGGTTTAAATTTGCATTGTTATTTAAAAACTGTATCTGCAAAGTTTTGTAAACAAATAAGTATCGATCACGGAGTGCCTGTAGTAGTGTATAGCCAATCAATATTTGTCTTACGAAAGTGAAACATCTGGTTATAACTTAGGCTTGATGAAAAAAAATAGAAATGTAGATCTAGTTATGTAGCCTTAAAGCTTAAACTCAACAAATTATTTTCAAGTTTGCAACTTTAAGAGAATGGCATAGATCTAGATCTAGATTCTAAAAATATAAAAAGTTCTGAATTGATTTTAGGCTTAGGGGCTAAGTTTTATTTTTTATTATTTTTACAGTCACTTTGCTAAATCTAACAAAAAGCACGTTTTTATTCCATTTCACAACATGATGGAAGGATTCTCGTCAACTCGCTCGCCTCAGATCTAGAATTCTGGATCCAGGCCTAACATCGAAATCCTTTATTTTACTTATAAAATCTTTGAACTATTTATTACTATTGCACTGAGTTAATTAATGAGCTCTAGATTAGATCTAACTAACCTTTACTAAACCAAGTAAATTTGTATGCAGTCAAAACTTAGGTAAAATTTAGCCTGAAAAATAAAATATTTCAGATCTTCTGTTGTTTCAGTTTAACAATTAAAAATATAGGCCCCTAACTGGAGTAGACCTAAGTTTCTTTATTAGAAAGCATTAGAGTTTAGAGACTATTCTAGATCTAGTAGAAGAATGAAGTCAAGTCTTAAAAAGTAGGCTACGTGACGTAAAGTAAGTTCAAGTTAAATCAAGGCAAGTTGACTAGAGAAGTGATAGGAAAAAAAAACTGCGATGATCTGCAACGAACACATAGACGCACTTACTAAATAGTCTTAAGCACACACTGCAAATGATTGATATTGGGTTTTAAATACTGTGAATTAGTGTTCTTTACAACATTTGTAACGAAGTAGCGTCCTTTTGAAGATATTTATTCCCTTTATTAAGTAAACATAGGCGGGAACAAAACGCAGAGAACAAAATGGCTTCCCAAATTATAACTCTCGTGACGGCCCATAAGGATCCGCGATTTAGCGAGATTTACTTTGCGGTGTACATTTTCGCAGCCCCCAGTACATATTCAACTGTCTGAATGATGCCTACAAAAAATAAACTCTGAGATTTTAAGCCTCACATAAAGTTGTTACGGTAAAAGCATCGCAGTAGTAATGACGTGGAACAGGGGGACTTCCCGGGCGCCGAACGTAGGGTTAAAAATATATTAAAAACTTGTGTTTGATTTAAATAATGCCTATGCACAGTGGAGATTTAGAAGATACACATAAACTTATTAATATCATTAGGCCTACATGCTAATTTATTTTCTACATCGATTGTATGGAAGGAAAATAAATGCCGTTTATGATAACGAACAATGAAATCTCAAAAGCATCAAAAAATTGCAAAAACAATTTTAGTACGTTTAGTCAATTTAGTGTTCCTAATTTGTGTTTTATTTATTTAAATTCCATATAGTTTTACTAATATTAGTATTAGCAGTTACTGCTTCCTGCTCGGGACATTATCAGTGTTTCTTCCAGACATTTTTCTCCGGGGGGGGGGGGGGAGGGGTGGGGGGTGGGTGGGCACTTGATATTTTCGGTGGGGGGGGGGGGTCAACATTTTTCGGGGTGACGGACACTAGTAACTAGTAAAAGTGTATGTTTACTATATAAATTCCATCTAGTTTGGGGGGGGGGGGGTGATATTGTAGTCTGTACTGTCCGAATACTATACGAATTTATGAAAATTTACGTTAATTTCTGAATGTGTGTTAGGATTATTACTAAAGAAAATGGCATAAGCTGATAAATTCCTTTGGTACTATTTCAACCATGCAAGTAGGCCTCAATTCTTGACAATAAATGCCGTGCTGTATCGCCTGTATGTTGCTAGAAATGTCCGAAGAAAGTATTCTAAAAAGTATTTATATTTTGTCAAACTTTTGTGTGTATTTTCATTTCTCACATAATAACACATAAAATAAATGAACGTTGTCGACATATATTGCTTATTCTGTGAAGCAAACTCTTATAAATTATAATATTATAGCTGCATATTACAACCTAGGTCTACTTAATTGAAGAGCTGACCTTAAGTCAGAGGCTTAGCGGGGGTGGGGGGGGGGGGGGCAACGGGGGTACGTATGTCCCCGGGCGCAGACCCTAGGAGGCGCCAAAATGGGTTGAATAAAATTAAAATCTCATTTTAGCTGCAGTTTTGCATTATAAATATAAAAAAAATATATGGGGGTGGCGCCAAATTGTAAGTTTGTCTCCGAGGGGGTTCGCCAAATTGAAAGTTTATTTTGGGGGGGGGGGGGGGGAGGCGCCAAATTGAAAGTTTGTCCCTGGGCGTCGGGAAGTGCCGCTACGCCTCTGCCTTAAGTTGACGCATACCAAATCACATTGTCAGACGCTTGCTAAAATGTTTAAAGTGCGACAGGCTCTTAAGCGAAAAAAAATAGCTGTTACTGAATGCTGTTTACTGGATTGCTTATAGATCTTTTCTACATCTATTGTGTTATGACATAAATAGCCTTATAATCTCAAGTGGGGTAGGGCTGTTTCGCTGAAATTTGAGTAATAAACAAGAATGTAATAAAGATTGATTATATTTATATTTATAAACTCAAATGACATTTTTTTTTTTACAAATAAAGAACCCGTTTTACCAATGTGATGTCAATAAACCAGTTTAAACATATTTTAGCGACCAAAATATTGTATTAAAGAAACAAGTTTGTTTTATTTTCTTTTTTTTTAGTGCATATAAAAACGTGTTATTATAAAGATTTTTAAATTTGTTCTATTTTCCTCTTGTAATTTATTCTATATGAGGTTGGCAGTGTGGCACTAGATTTAGATTAGGCTACGACTAAACTAAAAATATATAGTAGCTTGGGATCTCTTAAGGACAGTTATCTTCCCCTACTTCCTGGTTGACGCCAAGCAAGACATCTTGTTATCTCCCCTTTCACTATTGAATCTAGAAACTTTTTAAATGACTAGTACTAGCCTACTGTTAATATAAGAATAAAATTGTCATCGAAGACGTAGCTTGTAAAAAGATGGAGGTACTGAATATGTCAGAACCCAACAATTTCAACTCGATTGAGAATTTTAAGGCATGAAAAGATTTGGGGACAGGGTAGTATGGCCTGTTTTTTTGTGATGAAGAGTGACATTGGGGTGGATGCGTGTAACCAATCGGCTAAAATAGACGTTTTTTGTCAAACAAGGATATCGACTCGTTCTTTAACATAAATTATAAGCCCTGCTCAATTTTCGAGAAAACAAAAAAAAAAAGTTAACTCCCTGCTCCATCGTTATTTGCATGAGAAAATTATAATTTTAAATAACAGTTCATTTGCCAGCAAATCCCTTCCCCCATTGACGAAAAACCATCCCCCTAAATTTGTACATGAAGCTGTGATTTAGCCAAAAATGGTTCGGTTTGTCGCTTCTTACACCAGTCGCTGGTAAATAAATATTTTTCTGCTAGTATTTTACCCCAACAGTAAATAGCATAAAATAAACTACGACGTTGTTTAGTATAGTCCTGCCTGGGGTTTACACGAAACTCATGGCCTGGCTAATATTGATATGATCGCCAGGAACACTGCCCTGATCAAAGCTATGAAATGCCTTGTATCGATTTTTTTTTGCTGCCATTATTGTGCCAAGCTGAGATAAGGTCACCACCAACTGCCACATCACCAATCACTGAATGCTATTGATCTAATGGCACAGACCAATCCATCTGACTACACCGACGTAGAACAAAGAAAAGCAACTCTGTGCTGGGTAGATGGTATGAGGAGTTCATCGTGAATGGAATTAAGATTATTAAACAGCAGTTTTATAGCTAAACATCTTTATATAGATACTGGAAACTGGCCTACAGATAAGATTGATAATGTGATATGATTTTCAAAAGACTTGTCAAACCTATTGTAGGTCACAGGGTTATCTTATCTTTAGTCACCAGATTACCAGGGGTTTTATTTAGCATAAGCCCTGATGACTCTACATGACTATAAATAACAGACATCCATAATACAGAATAAAATAAGACAACAAGCACAATGGTAATTTGTTATAATTGATTATATAAAGTAAATGGTTTGGCTCCTACAAGCCATACAGTCCGATCTATGGCAAATTTTTTGTATTAATATTTTATTAATAAAGGCAAAAAGGGAAAAAAAATAATCTAAAACGCTTTTTTTTTTTGGTGAGATCCATATTTACAATGTCAATAAGACAATGATGAACAAATCAAGATAAGTAGTGGTTAGAAAGAATGGTCAGGAGGGTCAAACATGATAGAAAACACAATATTTACTAGTTATATCTCATAACACATTTTCTAAGAAAAAATAAAAGGTTAGCATTTCTTTCAATAAAGATATTAAAGCAAGTAGGACATCAAATGATGCAGAGAACAAAATATGTAAATAGATGAAATCTGGGGTGTACAAAAAAAATAATGTAAATTTGACATGGAAGTTTGATATCCTCGCACACTTTCCAATAAGCCAACACAACTGGAGTAGCACACACTTTTAATCAGATTATGTACAAATGCTTATATATTATAATTTGTTCAGTACACACAGAAACAAAGCTTTCATACAAAATGTTTTTCCTACATAATAAACCTTTTAAAAAAAATAGCACCTGGAACATCTGGATCCTAGAAATTACAATGATACTTTCACCACAATGTGTATTCAATTCAAACTAAGCCCAAGTGAAAATCAATTTTCCGAAAAAAAAAAAATTCTAGAGTGAAAAAAGCATAATCATGAATATGCAGGTCCCACAAAATTAAAAAAATAAAAGAATATAAAATTAAAATAATGAGGTCCCACTTTAACAGAAACTTTTATTTTTAAAATGTGTGGCATTTCTTTTGCTATGACTAACAAAAATGTATATTTACAAAAACAAATATATATAAAAAAAAAAACTGAAGTTAATGGGACAATTTGTAGTAAGTTTAAAGTTAAGAAAAAAAAGTGTAAACAAACAGGTAAATCAGACCGTAATTAACTGGAGCGTGTTGTTAATTGAATTAATTTTTAGAACAGTTCCCTCCAAAATAAGAATAGGAAGACGCAAACTAAATGTTCCAGAATTTTCTTATTAATTAAAACTGGCCTAATTTCATTTTAAAAAAACATGCAAGACCCTTATATAACGAAGGCTTGAATCCGTAAATATGAATTAACTTGAGTTGAAAATCATTTGAACTCTTACAGCTCAACTTTCAAGAAAAAAAGACACCTATGGAAAAAAATAGGCCTCACAAATGCATTAGAAACAAGTAGTAAAACAGAATAAACCACCCACACAGCTTTGGTAAACAACAAATGTAATGCCTGATGTGTTAGAAAACAAAGTAGTAAATACTTGTAAGGACCTCAATCTAGGATAGAACTATTCATTCAGAGCTGTGGACCTGTAACAAAACAATATTACTGTAAAAACTCAAATGCTGTCCATTGAAACAGAAAAAAAAAACAACTTATTTCAAATCAAACAAAGTTGAAGATGAAAGGTTATAAAAATGTAAAGTTTACAGCATGTAAAAAAAATATTGTATTATTTATGAAGAGATTAGAAAAAAAGTATATCTACTGTATAGATTTAAAAAAAAAAAACAACATCAAAGACTAGAAAAAGACACAGCCAGAAATAGGTTTTTAAAAAATGTGCCTTTGATAGTAAATATTATAATAATAAGCTGTTTCTGTTAACTATGTTTAGTACATGCTCGTTCAGTATCAAAACGTATTTGATAACAATCAATGTAGACAAACAGGCAACAGTAACCTCACCCTGTAGTATTACTGTAAATATATTACGTGGTGCTATTCAGTATAGATTGATATGTTGCTTTATACTTTGCATAACATTTACATAAAAAAAAAAATTGCAGTAAAGAACAATGACATTCATTTGTAATGGTACAAACAAGTCCAAATGTGAATCTATACAACATACTTCCTCTTGTAAATGAAGCCATATCCTGTTAGCAAGGAAGTGATAGTTACCACACCATCACAGCTCTGAATATTAATATGGAGTTAGTGGGAAGCTTAAAAACTCTAACAGTTAGATATGGTCACACCAAATCAGGAGTTTAAAGACAAATACATATAAAGATCTCAAATGTATCACATCTCAAAATGAACATTGTTGGTGCAGAAAAACACCACTCACATAAATATTTTTTTCCAAAAACAAAACAATAAAAAAAAAAAAAAAACATGCAGCATATCAATATATATATAGTCTCGATAAAAAATATAATAAAAAAATAAATTATTAATCATTGGCATGAATGAACCTATAAAGTATCTATTCTAAATTTATTTAACCTTAAACATGAATCTGAAGAAAAGGCAAAACAAAGATTAGAAAAAAATGACATTGTAACAGTGAAGCACCTTCTGTACATACAAAAATAATAAAATACTGGTGATTTGGAACCAGATTTAATTCAGTTTAGCTAATTGTTAACAATCAGAATCACAGATGCCGTCTATGCTGAGGGAGATTAATTGTCGCCAGTTTTTGTAACTGTTATGAATTTGTAAATTTGTGAAACTCAATGGATGCAGTAAAAAGCACTGAACAAAATAAGCTAAATGAATATAGCTACATGCATAAATAACCATAAGTTAATACATAATTTAAGGCACACTAAGGGGTTGATGTTGTAGAACAAAACAGAAGACAAATATGAGTAACTGGCATAAAAAATATATGCCACAGTGCACATTTTAACAGCTACACCGATGGAAAATTAACCCCTGGTTTTTTGTTTTACAGTTGGATGAACTTATATTTTTTCCTAGTACATATGCAAGCATACATTACTAAAGGAAATACATTTTTGTTTTTGTAAAGATTTTCAAAGAACAATGAGGCGTTCTCTTACCAGAATATTGTAAAATTTCATTTCCGAAGATGGCTTCAAATTATTTTGAAAATTACCTCGTAAATTTGTTTGGACATTTCAACTTCTGGTGAAATCAGTAATAAACAATTTTCTACAATGTAAATTGAGCAACCACTATGACATGGAACTTGGATTTAAAGGAAAATAAAAAGCAACTAGCATTCTAAAAATGTGCCAAAGTAGCGTCTAGCATTGCAAAGATCAAAAGAAGTATTACATATACATTACAATATCTTTCTAAGCCAGCAATCACCATATTATACTGTTCATTATGCTCATACTATGAAGTTAACACAATATAATTGATTATGCTGTAAACTGCAGATATTTTGATTCTAACACAGAGGATACCCCATTACTGATACATATATTTTACCAAGTCTTTAACAACAATTAATCCATATGCACTTTCTGTTAGCAATAGTTTACATTGTAACCAAGGCTATCAGATTTATAACTCAAGTATGAAAATACCACAAAAGGGAATAACTTTCTGAATATATATCAATGCATTTTTACCTGAAACACTGATGTGTGAAATATTTAGCAATATACAGAGTACATTTAAAAAATATAGCTCTAGCATTGATTGTGAATTGCAGATCTATTAATACCTTATCATGTGGTATCCACATAAAGAATAAATCAAACTAAAAATTACTATTTTATCAAATTTTCATTGTTTAAAACAATAGAAAGATTCATTACTTAAGTTAAACAAGGTTAACAATTGATATGGTTATATACAGGAAAATAATAAATGAATACATCATTTCTGTAAAAAACAAACAAAAGAAGGAAGCACTTCACCTGGACCTGACACGAACTTATTCTTATTAGATCAAGGTTCTTAAGCTTTACAGTGAACTTTAAAACATGGATAATGCCCTATGCACTTTGACAGGTCTAAATTTGCCTAAAAATACTCGTGCTGGGTGGAGTAAAAACAATTATAAAGATAATTTGTTAGAATTATTTTTTAAAACTAGTAAGATTTGCTATAACTTAGTAAAGGACAGGTAGAAAAATATAGAACCCCCTAAATACAAACAATTATAAAAATAAATTCTTACAAAAACCATTCTTGAACCTTCAAACAAAAAATTGTGAACCTAAATTGCGTACAGATTCACCAAAACTAACAATAATTAATAAATACAATTTCTTTAAGTAGTCAACACATATTCAAGTATAGTTTAACAGAGATAGGTAGAGCCTTTCAAATTAGGTAGGAATTTTCTAGCAGGCCTCTTAATTGATTTATGTTATTCTAGTCATATTATTTTTAAAATAAGCGACTTTGTTTAAACAATGTAGCAAAAGCACAAGAGCATCTGTAATTGATATTTTACTACATTATAAAGCAAATATAAAGCAACTGTAACCAAGTTCTTATACTATACAAATAATAAGCCAGCTTGTTATAATTCTGTTGAGCTTTTGGGCCGAGGTTTGCCGCGGCGTTGAGCTAGTCTGGAAGCACCAACAGGTTCAAGGGTCGCTTGCTTATGATTCTGAGCATTCAAAGCATTAAATGTTGCAGCCACAGATCCCTAGAATAAAAAAGAAGAGCAGAACATAAAGGCATAAGCAAGATTGTTAAGAGGAAGAAAAAAAAAGAAGGAACTAAAAAATTAGCAAGATAACGAACCTTGACTAACTGTGCATCTTGAAGTGTAAGACGTAGGTGTGGCAAAGATTCTCTCTGAGATATCCAAGGATGGTTAAGAACTTGGGCAGCTGTCAGTCTGCTATGAGGGTCAATATGCAACATCCTTTTCACTAGTTCCTAAAAAGAATAGAAAGAATGCTTTTAGAAATAGAAGTATTTTGTATTGACTTGCAGACATTTAACATAGGAAATGTGTTCTGATACTATTTTATACACTGAAAAATTGTAATCAAGACAAACCTTTGCCACAGCGGAGACAGAATCCCAGTTACCACCAACCAGAGAAAATTTGCCCTCACCGATCCTTGCAAGTATGTCGTTAGGTGTGTCATTGGGGCCATTTGCAAATGGTGTGTGACTTTGAAAAAAGATGAACAGTTACAAACCTGACAATTTTTATTTACTAAGATAAATAATACATTTATGTTTATAAATTTTTTAAACCAACATACCCAGCAAGCATGGTGTACAACAAAACACCAAGACTCCATACATCACAAGATGCATCATACCCCTGTCGTTTGAGGACCTATATTGAAATCAATATGAAAAATTCACTAAAAATAAACAAATTCTGGTATGAAACAATCTTGTTGAATAAAACATTGGTAATACATGGCGTTGAAGTGGAACCCACCCGGAAAGAGAAAGAGAGGAAGACCACTGGGAACATGGGGGAGGGAGATGGAAGAAGAAGTACAGGCTACTGGCAAGATCTGGCATGAACTGAAGTGGCTCGCCCTGGACAGGGTGGAATGGCGGAGATTTGTTGCTGCCCTATACTCCACAGGGAGTGATGAGGATTAAGTAAGTAAGTAATACAATCTGTAAAAAGATTTAAGTACCACAGCTTCATACCTCAGGAGCAACAAAGTTAGCAGTGTAACACGGTGTCATAAGCAGCCCATTCTCTGCACGCAGTTGCTTAGCGAATCCAAAATCACATATGCGCAAACTGTCAGGGGATCCACTATCATCAGCATACAGAATATTGGATGGTTTAAGATCTCTATGAACAACCTTAGAAAAATCAAAGGGCAAATCAAACAATAAATCACACTTAAACAGTCACAGTTATTATGAACTAATGTGAACTCGAATTGATACATACCCCATTTGAATGCAAATAGTCCACGGTCTTGGCAACAACTTGTAAGACAGCACTAGCCTCTCTCTCTGAGAAAAATTTCTGCCGCAATATTTTATCTAGCAGCTCACCTCCCCTCATTAATTCAGTAACCAGGAAAACCTTATTTCCGTTGTCGTAGACCTTTAAATACATATTAGTTTCTCAAACATTAAGTAGGATGCCGGATCTAATCAAAATTACTTGAAATATAAAAACAAATTAAAGATCTAAAAGAGAAACTATGTCAATAAAATTAACTGTGTTAAAAAAAAATTAACTATACTTACATCTCTGAGTGTTATCACATTGGGATGATGACCAAATCTCAACAAAATCTCCACCTCCTCACAAGGATCCCTCTTGTCTTTGTCCATTATCTACATAAAATTAAACAAAGATAACAAGATTAGGGACTGCATTGCCAAATGGTAGAGCACTTGACTGCAAACACTAAAGCCTAAAGTTCAGATCCCTGGCTAACGCCCTTGAGTACACCCAACTCTGATGGGTACCTCTTATGTTAGAGAACACAATGCAAATGGGTATAGTGCTGACCACATCCTTCCGCACACCCTATGCAAAGTTTCTTAAAACAGATGGACTTTCTTCGGTTGTCCTATGTGTCTTAAGCTCAAACCAAAAAAAAATTGTATGATGATTAAATTAAACTTTGCCTTCTTTGCATTCTTAAGCTTTATTGAATATTCAAGGCTTTTCTACACCTGTCTAACATTTAACTCACCTTTACTGCATAGCTGTTTCCTGAGGCTTTATGAACACAACGCTTGCAAACTGAGTAGGACCCAATGCCAATATCCTATTTGCAGCAAGACAAAATACAAAATTTACTTAAGGATAGAATAATTATTATGCTATAGTAAAACATAATTTAAAAATAAAACAAACAACTCCTTACCTCTTTTAATTCATAGTCATCACTGAAAGCACTAACTTTGACCCCTGGTAGCTGTTTTTTTTTAAGAAAAAAAAAATTATTAGTCTAGAAAAACTGCCCCTCAAAAACAAAAATAAGTAATTATATAATTCAAAGTGGCAGATTTACCCACTAAAGCCTAGACAATAACATAATAATCCAAAAGTGTCAGATTAAAATACCTTAGCTAGACTATTCTCATTATTACGCGTGTACTCTGTAGCTGGTGCTATATTTTCAGATTCTAATAATGCTGGTGCGATGAAACTAAATCCTCTAAATAGCTCATGGGCTGTGGCGCTGGGAGGTATGCCAGGAGAATCTGCATTAAGAAAAAACAATGGTCATAGAAATGAGTTCTGCGCATACTGTAATACTTAAAACAAGTATAGATTTTTTGTAATGGCGACAAGAAAAATGTGCAACAGAAAATTGCGCACCAAATTTGCACAAGGGATTTTTTTTTATACTGTTCATATATATTTTCCCACTAAACAAAAGTGTATTAGTATAATTAATTGCGTACATGTTCATTCATTTTTCAATTTGTGCACAACCACTTGTACATACCTTTAGGGGTTTTTGAGGTAAATTCTTTATCAAAATAGAACACATCATCAGTCTGAACAACTGCTGGTTTAAAAGGTGGTTGAAGTTCACGTTTATAAAGTTTAGGAAAGTTTATTGTTTGAAAGAAGGGATGTTTCTTCATTTCCTCAATACCATTCAATCCAGAACCTATGGGGGGAAAAAGGAAAATAAAATGTAAAAAATATACACCCACACATATATATATATATATACATAAGCAGAAATAAAAACGTTCTAATCTAAACTTTACCAAGTCGGTTGGCTGGATTTCTTTTAAATAATGCCCGTAACAGACTTTGTGCCTCAGGACTGAGAAAGGGTGGCATCCCTAATTTGGCTCTGAAACAGACGGTTCATTGTTAAAAATCAAAGATTCTGTGAGAAATGAAAATATAAAATGTTTTATCTTCCCATAATCAACATGTACCCATAATTATTTACACATTGGGCAATTCAAATAATACGAGGATGACAAGGGAGAGTCTGATAAATAAGACAGTGGAATAGGATGCTAAACTTTATAAACTTACTTTAGAATCTGTGTCATTGTTTCCTTCCTGTTTGCACCTTGAAAGGGTAAAGCTCCAGTAAGCATTTCAAACTGTAAAAGAAAAAATGTGAAAAATGTAATTATTAACTTAATTATATAGCTAGTAAGGTAAATAGTTAATTGCAAAATATGTTATTACTATCTATCAACTTATTTTACCGGATCTTGCACTTTTCTTAAATTATACTAAATATTAATGCGACTTACCATGAGAACCCCATAAGACCACCAATCAGCAGGGGTACCATGACCTTTCCTATTGACAACCTCTGGTGCCATGTATTCAACAGTTCCACAAAAAGAATAAGTTTTATTCTCTTCAAAGATGGATTCCTTGCTGAGCCCAAAATCAGTCAACTTGATATGTCCTTCTGTGTCAAGCAGTATACTGGAAAGATTGATAACGTTTTATTGCAATACTGCTATGAGTTTGCCAAAATTAAACACCCTGAAAACCAAAATATGATTATTCAGAAAAGTAAAAAAAAAATGTTCTTCACATTGGGGAACATACTTTTCTGGTTTAAGATCTCTGTAAATAATACCCAAGCTGTGGAGATGATCAAGAGCCAGTGCTAATTCTGCCAAATAAAACTTTACATCTTCCTCTGTGAACATAACCTGTTGGAGAACATTTTTTTAAAAACATTATAGATCTGATTGGACTGAAATTTAGACGTTCTTTTAAAGAATTAAAAAAAAAGAGTGATATAGTAAGGTTATTACAAAAAAAAAAAAAAATCCAAACAAAAACAAAAAGCAATGTATCACCTGACTATTTTCTAGTAACCTTCTTTAATGAGAATACCTAAAATTCCTCACCTCTTTTGATAACCGAGTGAACAAATCTCCTCCTCTTAAAAATTCTAATATAAGGTACAACTTTCCCTCAGTTTGAAAAGCTGAAAAAAAAACCAAAAAACAATGTACTTTATTAATTCACAAAAAGAGCAAGAGAATAAATTAAAGAGTAATAAACATCACAAAAATCTATGCCAAGAAAATCCTATTTCATGATACAGTGCTGCAATACTCTACAAGGTTGTATTTCAACCAACAAATTGTTCAAAAAATTATTCTGTCTGCAAACACTGAACTCACCATAATGTAGTCGAACTATAAAAGGATGATTCACATCTGCCAGTATATCTCTTTCCATTTTAGTTCTTTGTCGATCACGAACTGAAATATAACAAAAGAAAATAATCAGAACTATACCAATTGAGGTTTCAAACTTACAAAAATCTCTAGTTTGTTAAAGCTTATTCAAAATTCCAGAAAAAATTACTATATTTTTACAAATAAAATAATTTAAAATGCAATAATAAGTAAGATATCTCATATAAAAAGTTTCAACATCATACATTTTCTGTAAAGCAATTAAGTTTTAAAACCAATCTATTTACCATAGCTACCCACAGTTATGTATATCCATCCATACAACATACTCCAAATACACTAATTTTTTTTAGATGTGTTATTTAATATAAAAGAAGAATCTAAAACACAATGATACAAAAACTAATGTCTTAAAAATGTTGGCAATCTATTATTATAAAGATTTCAATTTAACACAAAAAAGGAATCAGAGTATTACCAAATATTAATATTTTGGTACAGAGGAATGAGTTAAAGGAAATTACTGTAGTTGTATAGTTATTTCTCTTTAAAAAAAACAGGCATGGCTTCTTAACCATTGATGACCCATAACGCCCGCAACCCATGATGGCCCGTAACACCCGCTTACAATACGCATAGAAAAAGTAAATTTGTTTCATTAAAATTTGCCCTACAAATCCTAATTTTTAACTAAACAGGAAGTCGGATAGTTTCAGCATCCTTTTCCGGTCTTCTAATTTCAATGGCGCTTTTGAAAGGTAAAAAATAATATTAAAATAAAATTATGCCTCTAAACGACTCTAGGCATGTATTTTATGAATTATATATCTTAAACATAACCAAATTGATATTTATCTGTTAAATTTGACAAAAATAAATTAAGTTGACTACCGAAAATGACCTGTTTTGAATTTTCTCTGACATTTTTTTTTTTATACTGTACTTGTACCGAATATAATATATTCTATTTAATACTGTTGGAAAGCCAGGTTTATTCCCAACATTAAGCAGTAGTTTTTATCTTAATTTTCAATTTCATTTAGACAAAAACAAATATTTTGTGAAGGTGTTCACTTGATCATACAGAGTTATGCTCCTTACATTGGGCAGTCACGGGTGAAGTTTTGGTAGAATGAATGGGTCATTAATGGTTAAAATTACATGAGGCACAAACATGTATTTAATGTGTGGATGCCTACATAAACCTGTCAACCCCACCTCCTGTAGATTTCTTACACAAGAATTATCTTTGTGCATGTCATGAAGGGATGACTGCCATTTCCAGCAGAAAAATTAAAAGGTACCTTTTAAAGTTGCCTTCTTTAACACTTTCATGGCATAAAGGGTCCCAGCATCAGGTGCTGTGATTTTTCTTACAAGAAACACCTGGAGCAAATTGAAAGTAAATTTGACATCTTTTTAATATTTAAATTTTAGCAGAATAGAACCAATTCTTAAATGCAAGTTTATATACAATGCTTAAAACATCTGCCAAATTTTATTGTAGAAATGCACAAACAAAATTACAAATGCCTTCATTTAACCTACCTTTCCAAAAGATCCCTGCCCTAGCACCTTGAGTAGTTCAAAATGACTTGGGTCTGCCTTTTCACCTCCTTTAGTAAGATTTGTAATTTCCACCTCATTTTCTGACTCCTTTTATAAATAAACAAAACATAAAAATTATTTTTTCATACAATATTATAAAAACATTTCACAGCCATAGGAGAAGTTCCATGATAACAACTTACAGATAAATAATAAATGTCCCTAAAACACAAAGGGGAATAGCAATATAATCAATTACAATGGGCAGATCAATGTAACAACTTCTTTTATTGTAGTGTATTTAAAAAGTAAAGGAACTCTCAAAAAAATAAGAAAATGATTATCTCTATTTCAGTATGAAGTGAGGTTAGTTTGAAAGGGCCACTAACAATAAAACAACTTAGTGATGATGAAGGTACTATTACTTTTCTCAAAAAAAAAAAAAAAAAAACACTTCACGCTGTTTGCAAAAGATTTGAAAACATCTACTTATTACATTGAATGCAGATAAAAAATGAACAAAAAGGAATAGGAAAGAGATCTGTAGCATATTGTGACACACAAGGTTGCTACCCCAAAGGAAAAAAAGTAAAACCATGAAAATAAAATTTGAGACCTTGTTACCCAAGGAGGATATGTAAAAAAAAACAACGTAGAAGAAGCATAATATAACCCTAAAAAAAATGGTTTAGCTGATAGACTAAAAAATCTTACCTGGTCATCAACTAGCATATCTTCTGTGCTCCCAGCCTAAAATAAAGGGTATTTAAATAATAAGTACTAAGAAAATCTGAAGAGGGTTAAAACGAAATAAAAATTCTAAAAATAAAAAGCTATGTTGGAATAAGCATAAAGCTCAATTTTTAAAAAGCCACTTTATATAATTTGGGCCTACAATGATGTATGACTACAAATTTCCTCTCTAGTCTGTTAAGTGTACACAATAAATTGTTGTTTTAAAAAATTTCACATCCAAAATTTCATAAATAAATTTTAGGCCCTAATCTCTAATTGATTTAAAATGTAGTGTAACAATTCAATTTAAAATCAACAAAAATACATAATAGGCTACGCTTAATCACTTCTGTAATGTATTTTTCTTGAACAGTAGCTTTTCTAGTATCAGTAGTGTAAACTTCAGGACTAAAAATAATTGTAATTGTATAGGCCTAGTCTACCTATAATTTCAGGATAATTTACATTCTTGATTAGATAAAACTGCAAAAGTCTTTCTAGCTAGAAATCTAAAATCAAGACTTGATTTTCTAGATTTAGGCCTAATCATCTAGTCTTGAATCTAGATCTAGGTAAATGTACCCTTCTAATGTAGACATAGATCTAGATTCTAGACCTAGAGCGCCCTAGACTTTAGATCTAGAATCTGGAGTAGAATTATAGAGTATCTTCATCTAGAATCGAGATTAGAAATGAAAGGAATCTAGATTATTCTAGATCTAGATTCTAGTACTAGATCTAGCTAGATTATAGGATAAAGACTAGATTTCAAGATCTAGATTCTTTTCTAGAAGAATATAGATTTTTGTCCTAAGGTAAGGCCAGGGAGTGTCTAACAGCTACTCACTTCACTATGTGATTACTGAGCAAGCTTAGCTACCAAAGTCATAGATCTAGATCTAACTAAGTCATTCTAATTCTAGATCTCTAGATTGATTAGGTCTAAAATGCCTAGACTAGAGTCTAAGTCCTAAGTTATCGTAAGTCCAGCCTAGATCAGTAGATCTAGCCTAGCAGTCATCTAGATCTAGCTAGATTCTAAGTTAAGTGCCTATTAATATTTAATTAAATGGTAATCTATCGTTTTGGGTACGTAAAATCGCCCGCGGCTATTAATGTACGAAAACGTTACCTCATTATCAAGGCTGTAATATAAGTATATTGTGATATGTTTGTGTCAAATATTATAGATAAATGAATAATAAACCTAAATCAATGGCTAATATATCAATATAGGCCAGAAATTAACTTTAAACAGCAGCGTCTGCAAGCAAGATTTGCTATATAAACAGCAGCCATTTGTAAAATAGAGTGACTTTCGCCTGAATCTTGCGCTATAAGTCTATAAAAATAAAACTTTAACAACATGGCTGCTATAGTAAATGAGCATGGTTGCATCTGTTGGAAACATCGCTGGTGTTCATTTATGACTGAAAAGTTTTAATTCAATTGTTTAAAAACAGGTACATAAATGAAACAAGGAAACATTTTTGTATTTTTCAAAACATAAATCCTCCTCAAAATGTGAAAAAATTATTAAAATGTAAGGAGTCACCTGTTTTTCACATTACTAGTTGCGGGCGATTTTACGTACCTAAAACGATAGATTACCAATTAAATTAAAATTAGGCCCTAACTAAATTAAATGATTTCACCACAAATTTTCATAGAATCTACATCTAGAGATCTAGATCTAGATATAGGCTTAACAATTGCTTTTTGTTTTGTTTGAATGAGCCTTGTCAATACATACTACATACGATACATTTTATTTAAGTCTAATAAAATAAAGCAGGAAATAGACTAAAAGACATCGGGTGGAAACAGGGAAATGAATGAATGGTGACGAGCGGATGTCACTTATTTTTAGTCCGGAATAAATTTAAATTAAAATAATTGAAAATTCAATCATACCAAAACTTACTCCTACCAATTTAAATCATGCATACATACCTCCGTTTCATGTGCTACCTCCATGCGACGCCATGGGTCGGCATTTAGTGCCAGAGGCATGGTTAATGGTGAATGCAGAGGAATTTTTACTATGTTTACCGTCGCCGCCTCACGGGTAGTGTAGATCGACCAATATGGCCGCCAGTTGTGTTACCGATGGCCAGGACTCCACAGGAATTTTGTTCTCAAAGTATACTTTTGCATTCCGATGCGTTTATTGATTAACTGAAAAAGATTCGTTTTGCTCAATATCAGATGAATAAATAATTGTAATTGTATCTCAAAATTCATGAAATAAATATAGATCTATGTTGTGTAGTAAGAATACAAGAATGTGTAAACCACGTTAAGAAAAATATGACGGTTTATTTTATTGTATGCTGACTAATCATAACTCAAAACCACAGGAAAGGTGTGAAAAATACAAAAGTACATATAACCCTGGGGCATTGGTCCTTCGGCTAGGTTTTAAGATATAAAAAAAATAACAGGCGCTGGCTAAATTAATTAACAGTTTTTTTTCTGGATTAGGTAACTTACAAATTTAGCAATAAGATATCAAAACAAGGGGAAGCTTTAGTTTTAAAATCATTTTAATAAAACACATTAAAACAATATTAATTAAACGTGCCTATATTTTCATTTTAATTGAAGAGAGAATAATAACAGTTAACCCTTTAAACATTATTAGTAGCTTCTGAAACATTTATAAAATAATTTTGACTAAACTTTATTGATTTGTCGGTAGCAAACGCAGTCTATTAAATAATCGATAGTGTGACGCTATTAATGGTCTCTATGTTGTGGAGGTTCAGTGATAATATGCGTACTTGTGATTTTTATTGAAATCGTTAAAAGAACAAAAGCATTATCTTTAACACCATGTTTTATTTTTAACTTTTAACTTAATGAAAATACTCAGAAGACAGAATGATGTTTTTTTTTATAGAAACCTTACTGTCAATCTTAAATAATTACGCAATAAACGATGTTTAACTTCGGATGGAGGGGGGGGGGGGGGGGGGTGGGGGCGGACAAGACTGCTTAAAATATATATTATCTATTTAAATTTAATAGTTTTTCTAAGATGTCCGCTTCGAAGGGGAGTGGATGAACTCCCTCACCTCCACCGAAGAGATGCCTGAAAGAAACACTGGAAATGATACATGGCGAATTGCCATGGTACGGTACAATTGATAAAGGCAACCAGACTTTACAATGTCATGTCGGTGTAAGGGTGGGAATACTGTAAGTGCATCTATATTTTAAAATTCTATATCTTTGCACGCGTGCGTCTCTTTGAGACAATAACTAATATTGACATATTTAGGAAACTTACGCCAAAAAAAAAAAAAAAAAAAAAAAAAAAAAACTCGTTTGAAAAACCTTCGGACATGTTTACATACACAACCAAGGAATTAAGATCATCTTGCTATTTTGAAACATCTTATGTTAAATGAGATGGACAAAATTGAAAAAGAAATATATTATTCAGATGACAGAAATGACATAAATTGAGCTAATTCTAGAGGTAAGGAAAAAATAATTTCTAACAGATCTTATGTATGTATTCATAAATGATATAATCTGTCCAGTCTTTCTTTCAGAATTTTTTTCTTCGGCGGGAGCGGGGTCGGACACTGGTAAAAGTATAAATTTTCTATATAAATTTTATTTTGTTCGGGGACGGGGGTACAGAGGCGTAACGAGGGGGGACACACATGTCCCCGGGCGCCGACCTTAGGGGGGGGGCGCCAAAATGGGTTGAGGGGGGTGCAAATTAAAAGTACGAGGGGGGGGTGCAAATTGAAAGTTTGAGGGGGGGTGCAAATGAAAAGTTTGAGGGGGGGTGCAAATCGAAAGTTGGGGGGGGGTGCAAATAAAAAATTCGAGGGTGTGCAAATCGAAAGTTTGTCCCCGGGAAGGATCGCTACGCCTCTGCGGGGGTATCCCCCCCCCCCCCCGAAGAATTACCTAAAAGAAACTCTGAATCTGTCATCCTGTGTTTTATTTTTTACAGAGTGAGTGTATCGATATAAATGCATCTCCATTTTGCAGTGGTAACTAGATTGTATCTTAAATACTCTAAAGAGCATGATTATATCCAATGACTTTCATATGCACACCACCAGAAACACCTCACACATAACGAATTTCATAATGTGTTATTTGTATTGCTATTATTTTTATTATCTAATAAGAGTTTTATAAAACTGGCGATAAACGTTTGATAAGCCAATGAATAACAAACAATCATATTCTAGATAAAAGCTGTTTTTTTTCCAAACCTACAATAGTCGATGTATCCGTTTTAATTTATGTGTGAATTCTTCTCAAATATATTACTGGATATTTAACGTTGACTTGAAAATTCAAGAATGTCTTGAGATAAATGTCTTGGTTTAAAGATATAAAATTGCAAGATCTCTGTTGGTCAAAATGTACTAATGATATACAATACCATTATTAGATGACAGTGCACTAGAGACAACTCCCCATTACTTCCAGAGCAGACATACTGTAAGAAAAGACATGATGTCTCCCCGTGAATTAGATAAGATAAAGCCAGTAGCGTCGATAGGTCGGGTGTCACCCGGTGTGGTGCGGCACCTCATGGTGTCACCCCTCTTTTTTCTCTGTATGTACATTTTGCAGTTGGTGTCAACCCCACCCCACCGGTAAAAGCGTTAAAGTGTTCACATTTAATAATAATGATCTTTATCCATTGTCGGCGGTTAATACAGGTGGATGCAGCATTGTTTTCTCTAGAGTTTGCATGTCTACGTCATGGTGTGACCCCCCCCCCTGGCAAAAAAAACATATTTATTCTTTATATATCTTGTAATGTTTTGTCTTGGTGTCATCCCCCTAAATGGTGTCACCCGGTGCGGTCCGCACCCCCGCCCCGCCTCTGGATAAACCACTGTTACTTATATCATGAGGGTATCGATCCCGATCCCACATCAAAACCTTAAATAACAATAGCTTATCAGATCTTCCTTTCCTAGAGTTAGACAATTTTAAAATATTAAAAACAAAAAGCAACTCAGTAAAAACGTAGAGAGTGAAATATAGATTATAAGATTAGCTACAACAGAATAAAAAAAAAACACACACACACATACATTAAACCGTTTAAAATTTTATTATAGTTCAACGCCTGGTACTTATGTGTAAATAATATTATTATTCTGACGGATGCGGTTCTAAACAGATTATATTTTTTTCTTTTCACGTGAATGCGTCCCGGTTTCTAAAAATTGTTATGTTTTAGTCTTTCCCTCTTTCCCGAAGGTTTACAAATAAAACTCTGCCCTAACCAGTTGCATCTAACACAATTTGTAGTTTAACTGGCATATCATTTATTTCCATGAACATCAACTTCCTGTTGCGTACATCGTGAAGCATTCTTCGCATTGTTGCTATGCCATTGAGCGTAGTCGTCACGCGTAGGAGTTTAAATGCGTAAAATCACTATGTTTTATCGACTAGTTTCACCTAGATTTTCTGCTGAGTGGTAGTATTGTGTTCACTTGCTTTAAGAGGAATGGTGCGACGACAATGCCAAACTCATTCACAAGCAGCCTACACAAGCCCCGCCCACATCTCTGCCTACGCCCACTCAAAAGGATTTGCCAAGGGATATAATCCAAAATTTTACTAAATTGTCTTTAAACTAAATTGCTCCTCCTGTTCTAGCTCTATTGTCTAAATAAAATAAATAAAATTTGTTATATTTTGGCGATCTTTCATTTAAAAAAAAAAAATGAGATCTATAATTTGACGTATGTTTTTTTTTTGGCTAGAAGGGTCATTGCTCAGGATAATAGATTGTCCTCAAGCCTATTTAAACAGGGTTATTTTAGTTAAATGCGGATATTCTTGGGGTCGAGCTAAGGCCGATAGGTGAATTATTTATAACGGAGAAATAGAAATACATAGGCAAATTGCCAAAATTCTTTAAAAATTAGAAAACGTTTAAAAATTAAAAATAAACCCCCTGCTCAAAATTTAAAAAATGTTGCGACCACAACCTTTATGTTAAACTATTAGTAGCTAACTATTTTTGGTGTGTAATGTCCTTATTTTTTAGCGCACTGAAAACTTGTTATTATGAAAGTTTGTGTACTTTTTTGTGTATTCAGATAATGTAAAGATATTTAGTTAGAAGTTGATCGTTATGTTTGAATTATATTAGTTTTTTTTTCCCATTTGATTAGTTCTTATTTATGTAGGCAAGCCACAAGAAAAAAATACTTGCTTTAAAAGCCCGACTAGCAACCCTAAAAACAATCATCTGCTTGGCGGTGTCCTTGGTCTTTTCCCAGGAATGTAAATATTTTAACTGTCCTGTGAAGACATTTCATCCGACTTGATCGAGAAGTCGCTACAAATTAATCTTGTTACCTCCCTTTTCTGACTTGCCCGTAGTAACCTTTAAATTCATTTTAATGACTAATTTAATCTATAAGTTGGTTGGAAATGTGGTACTATTGATTTTTATACACATACATTAGTTTACTTACTTACATTTTTAAAAATAATATGAATACATGTGTGCTATGTATATACACACACATAAGGGGTCATCCATAAATGACGTCACGCTTTTTTGACGATTTTTACCCCCCCCCCCCCCTCCGTTACACGTCGTCACAAAAAGCCAGACCCCCCCCTAAAATGAAGTCACAGCTCAGCCTACAACCCCCCTCAAAATTGCTGTTGATATTTTTCCAAAATCTTATCAGAACTCTGTCAACATATAGTATTTTGATCAATTCCTATTACAATTTATTAAAACCGTTTTCTTAAACGCGAAATAACGGCTAAAACTCGTTTTCTAACATTTCTTTTTTATAATGCAAAAAATGTGACGTCACACCATCTGACCCCCCCCCCCCTCCCTCCCACTCATCAGACACCTTCAGAAAATTACGGACCCCCCTCCCCCCTGCGAATGTGACGTCATTTAAGTGGTCGTATATCTGTCTGTGCTGTTTTGTCTGGTATATTAGTTCAACCCCCAACAGAGGCGTAGCGAACCTTCCCGGCGCCCGGGGACAAACTTTCAATTTGGCGCCCCCCCTCGGGAGCAACTTTTCGATTTGCACCCCCCCCCTCAACTTTTCAA